GGAGTTCAGCTTGCAGCTTCTTACCATCCCAGGAATTACATTACTATTGCATATTCAAATCTTTGACTGGCAAAATAATTTGGACCAATGCTTGTTCTGTATCTGTAACTGCCTGTTCCTCTCTTGACCTCTTGCTCCACCTCAGCAGGAAATCATCTAATCCTGCATACTGACTGGGCAAAGGGCTTCCTCGGATACAAGCTCACTAAGTTGAGAGAATTGATGCCCCATTGTCAGAATCTAAACACATTGCCCATTTTCTTTCAGTAACATGAATTTATACTGTTTCCCTTCAGCAGAGAGAGTGTTGTGTGACTTGGTCATCACATGACTGACCATGCAGTGTTCAATGAACTTACTCCTCTTTGCAGAGGACTGAAATACTTTGTTTTTTATTTATAGAGATACTCTCTCAGTAAGTCACCCAAACACTACCAATATCAAATCCACGGCATTACTTAAAAAGGTCATGTGAATCTCCTCTTTTTTTTTTTTTTTTTTTCTGTGATATTCTCATAGGGTTTGAAAAGTGTATTTACTCCCTTACTCCATTGCATCATTTTTCATTTATGAGTTTTCCTCTTGCAGAGCTCTGGCTCTCAGCCACAGCAGATCTGTGCAAACAGGTATACGTTCCAGTGATGGGGGGGATGAACCTTTGTTCTGAGGGCCTGTTTTTTATTGCTGCTGTTCATCAAAGCCTTGTGGTTCCAGGAACATACAGAAATAGCAAAGAGCACCTGCTGATGACAAAGCAGGCAGAACTTAAGAAAAGGACTGACTAAAACTCCTAAAGATAAACTTGGTTTTCCTTAATTGTATTTGTGTCATTGGACATGACTAAGACAAAGGAACAGTATAAAAGTAGAAGGAACATGGCAGAAACATCAAAAGAAACAGAAAGGTATAAAAGATACAAAAATCCCAAATACATAACAGGGTATGTGGTGATTATTTTATTTTTTTAGCACATGGCACTTTTCTTCTGAGGAGTTTTCCATGGCTACTGCCAATGTTTTATTGATCTCAGATGCTGCCTGTTGTGTAGAGCAATGGTGAACTCCACTCTCCCATGAGGACTTCTCCCTAGTTTGGTAGCCCTCCCCTTCATAGTCACTATTTCCACAGCAGTCTGTACCATATGAGGAAAAGTAAGAACCAGGGTTCAAGTAAGAAAAGCAATATACTATGCTTAAATATTGAAACCTTGTTTTCAAACCTTTTTTAGCACATTAAGAATGTAAATGTGTAAGAGGAAAAATAAAGAGGCACAACTCAACAGGCACTGGAGTTCTTACAAATAAACATTGCCACAGCTGTGCACAGAAGCCAAGACCATGGAACACCTGGGTTTTTCAGCGCATACTCCCAATCTGACCTTTCTTACAAATGTACACATGACAAAACTGTTGCATTTCAGTTTCTGCTCTGTAGAAGATTATAACATCAGATGTTTCAGAAGACTAACAGCAAGAATGGCAGAAAGTAAGCAAATACACACATCTGCTACTTTAATAGCAACGGTTCCTACATGGTTGTATTTCTCTCTGGCACGTGGGACAGGAGAGTTCCCCTTGCCATACACAAAGCTGCCATGTTCTGGATTCTTACTCCTCTCATATTCAGCATTTCAGCACCTCTCAGCTGCAGGAATGTGTTGATAGCAGATACCAAACAACAAAAAACCCAAGTAGGACGCTCATGTCTCTCAAAGCTCACCCACTGCATACACTAACTAATGCTTTCTTCAAATGAATTGGTCTGCACTCCCATGAAAATGTCACACCCCTTTTAAGGCAGCTGGTAGTTTAGCAGTAGTTGGCTACTGCCTAGCACAGGAGAAAGTTCTCAAAAATCCCACCATGCTGTGTCATGTCAGGGAGCCAGATGACTCCCATGAGCTCACATGATGGAATTTGTGTGGTGAAATCCAGATTTGCAAGAGCATGGATGAGGCTGCACGCAGGTGTATGGGATAACCAGAATACAGTAGCTCCTCAATGTTCCAGAAGTCACCTGAGTCTGGGCAGAAGCCACTCTGACCACTCACCTCTTAACAGTATCTCCCAGAAGGCCTGGACACAGACTAATGGCCTGTTGTACAGTCACTGGCTAGAAATAGCAGAACACCTGGACAGAATGCCTGCAGGGGAAGTGAACAGCTGAAGATATCCAAAGGTCTGAATTTATGTGGTTAAAAAAAAAACAAAACAATAAAACATTTAAATGCCTTTTGATATCAAGACCATGACAGACAAATTACACATAAAAGCAAAAGCCTCACAAGATTTAAAGATTTGAAGTAATTTCCTGGCAGAGATGAAACTCCCACTCCTTTTAAAATTAACACAACAGAGGAATAGAAAAATGTGGCTGAAAGACTAGAGAGAAGGATGTGAGGTTTAGTATCTCCCTATGTCTAGCAGAGGTAGTGGCTATCAGGAGCATCACATTAACAGGAACATGAAATTCAGAGATTCAAACAAGAGATCCACTGTGAGAAGCCCTCCAGCTGTCTCAGTCATTCATCCCAGAAATTTTAACTGAGGAACACTTGGGCAGTTTTAACCTTTATAACAAAATGGGACAATCCAACTACTTAAACAACTATTTAGAAATCCTCATAAGTCTTGAAGTTAGGTAGGATGGTGGGTCCTAAGCAGGGACAGCTACAGTACACTAAGGACTTTTTTCTTGCATAAACAGAAAGCAACACAAAATAAAACAATGTTCAATATCAAATAGTAGCACAGAAACTAAGATGACAAAGTCACAAGTTTTGAACATATTAATGAATTAAGCATGGATTTAAAGTGTTCTCATTTTACATCAAATATTTTACCTGAAGTAAGTATGATAACATTAAATGACAGCAACTCTGTCATGGCCATCTCTCACTTTACTATTTTGTTTAAATGCAAAAGTTGAAAACAGGAAATGGATGCTGACCAGATATTAACTAACACTTATAGAAAGATAAACAACAAAAGTAACTGAACAGCTTCAGATGAAAACAAAATTAATTTTTAGATCCTTATAGAGATTAAATACTATCCCATGGAGAATGAGTGTAATATCCCATAGCCCACAGTCACACACTTGTCAGGATAGCACCCACGTAAAAAATCATTAAATATTGCTGAAGTGATACATATTTCCTGAGTAACTTCTCCTGTTCTTTCCATGACTACAAAAAATGGTTTGGCAAAACTTGATCTTCCCTACTGCAATAGTCTTCATTTTCTCTCACATTCCTACCAAAGACTTGTTTCTTCCCTAATACCAGGAGCAAGAAAAGAGCAAATCTCTCTGTATTATTCCTCCTTTTGACTTAGAAAACAAAGTGTATTTGGGAACACATAGTTGGCTACTTATGTTTCAGGGGAGTCCTTACTTGCCATTTCCCTGGATAACACAGGCCAGATTTTGGAAGACACCTTCCTAGTTTTGTTGAAATACTAATACCTATAACCTTGGAAGGAGCTTGGTTCACCAGATGTTGGGAAAATGAGGTAACAAAATGTGGCAGCATTTCAATTACTACTACTTGTCTTGTGAATTACCAAACCTGTCCAAACCTTTTCCAATACACCCTGCAGTCCAAGGACTGCTTTTGCTTTACAGCTCAATGCCTGTGAAACATGCAGCACAACAGCTGCATTCAGAAACAAAGATCATCTTGAGTTGGAAAGAAACCATAACGATCATCAGGTCAAACTCCCTGCTCCTCACAGGACTACCTAAAAATAAACTTAATTACAAGAATGTCATCCAGACACTCCTGAACTCTGTCGGGCTTGTTGCTGTGACTGCTTTCCTGAGGAAGCCTTTCAGTGACCAAGCACCCACTCAGCAAAGAGCCCATGTCACAAACAGAAAGATTCAGAAGCATGCCCGGCTGGGGCCCACTGAAAGGAATGAAAAGCAGCCAGTGACTGGGCACAGGACTCACACTGTCATGTTGAAGAGGACATCCATATGGGAAGGAAGGAGAGAATCATCCCAGGCTGCTAGGAAAGTACTGATATTAGTAAGGAAGAGCAGATAGTCAGGGTTTCACAAAATGCTGCTGAGAAAAGAGGTCACATTGAAAGACTGAATGAGAGGCACTGTAGGAAACATCATTCCAAAGCTTAAATGCTGCTATCTGCAATGTGGACCTGTGCGGGCTGCTGCTATTAGGCAGTTTCCCAATGGCTGATACCTTGACCTCTTCTGCTCCAGTTTGAGTTCAGCACATAAATGAATGCTGCCCTACTTCCTACCTATGGAGGTTAGAATCCTCTTTTGCCAAACTATTCCAAATTCCTTACTAATGACATTTGCCCTCAGCAGTAGCCATTGCTCTCTTTCCACAAACACTCCTGGTATTAGTCTCAATTCTATGCACGTTCTTACACATTTTCCTCCAAATCAGAGAAAGCAACATATCCTCAGTTCTCCTCTCTTAAATAAATAATAATAATAATAGCATGATCACCAACTTAGTTTCCCCCCTCTCAGCTTTCATCTTCAGTAGAACACTCCTATCATAGATTATCTCATATCAAGAGACTGCATTCCTACCTCATTTATGTGCTGATTCCCTACTCCTCACTGATCTCTCCAGCACCTTTCAAATCAATAATCCCCAATACCCCACTTACTAGTCAACCACACGCTTGGCTCCACTGTTGTTTTTTCATCACCTAAACCATAGAGATTATAGCAGAAGATAATTAAACCATCATTTATTAATCTTTTGAAATCATCAGTGAAGAATGAGAGTAAATGCATTTTGGGGAAAACACAAAGGCAGTTTCTACTGCCTTTCAGTGTCTCATAGGTCAAAGACTCCAGAAAAATGGCGAAGCACATCATGCTCATGTAACGTTACTGCATCTGTAGGTATGGCTATTAAAAATGCCCAACAAATGCCAACCCCCAAAAACCTCTTTGCTTAAAATGAACACCTTATTAGTTTATTAAATAAGGATTAAAAACTCTTCTCTTCTTCAAAATATCTTTAGCTTACAAGAATTTAATTTTGCCTGATAGAAATATATTACAAGGAACACAGGAACCTGCAAGTTTGAAGTATATCTACCAAAAAAGCCAGTTGTTACAAACCAGACTATTTCAAGGTGCTGTGATCAAGAAGAAAGCTGCTTTACATTATTAGCTTGTCTTCCCAACATAGTAAAGAAAAAGCTTTTTAGGATAAGATTGTTTCATTCTAACACAATCTTCTACACTGTAACAGCAACTGAAGTTACCACTATTGATATTGCTACTAAGTTCTCTTGTTCTCTTAGACTGCATTTCATAACTTGTGCAATTGTCTTCTACCTATAAAAAATAATGAAAAACAATACTGGCACAGTATTACAGAACATATGATCGGAAGCCATCAGCACACTGAATCTGTTCAGAGCCATTAACAAATCTGTGACCTGCAATCTCTTTTTTAATAACAAAATTACTTCCAAGTAGACAGGGACAGTGCTCAGTACCACTGCTTTGTTTTGCAAAATACTGCATTTCTTTGTGTCTACATGTGTGAGGTAGGATACAAGTATGGGAAACACAGCTAGCCAAATCAAACACCTTATGCTATCCATCCTTCAAAGAACCCGTATGTCAAAGTAATTCCAGCATACTGCATCATTGCTGATAGACTTATTTGCAGGGGTAGAAATCTATTTAGAGGCTTGCTTTCTGTCTTCTTACGTCGATATGATGCTGCTGTTTAAAAAAGAATATACAATATACATCTTCATTACAGAAATGAAAGTGCTACTAAAAAACACATCATGACTGTACTGAGGTACTAAAAAAAATGCAAGCATGAAACATTTTCCTACTGTACACACCGTACAAGACTATGTTTATCCTGCCCACACAAATACAGAGGCACTTGGGGACCACTGTGAAGAGACTGGATCTTTTAGACAGCAGAATCTGATGAATTTTAAAGCAAATTGGGTGGAAGTTTCTTGTCTGTATTTCTTTACCAATTGCCAACATTCAGCTTCTTACTTTTCCATGATCAACAAAATAGCAGAAGCTCTATTGTACGCAATGAGGGCATCCTGAGGATATGGGACAAACCTACTGACACCTCAGGAAGTTTGCTTGTCTGTGGAAAAGAAATCACTTCAGCCAATGTTAGGATATTGCATCTAAATTAGTAAACATCTTTTGTAAAGGTAACATCCAACAAAGATGCAAGGACTGGAATGGCAATCTCTGAGCACAACAGAAAAAAAGAATGCGTGCAGATTCTTCTACTCCTCCTGATGGATGACTGGTCTTGGTCCAGTGAATTTTATCATTTTGACCATTATATAACCATCAGAGTAGCAGAATGGCCATCTAGAACTCATCTTAGTCATGTGTGTTTGCAGACACGAGCCTTGATCAAACACACTGCCATACCTGAATGTGTCTCTTTAAAAAAGTATTTGTAAAATATGTACTGCACCTGCCTGGATGAGGCAGAGATGTATCCATCTCTACACTATATATATTGAAACACAGGCAAGTCTGTAAAATTATCCCATCCACAAACTCAGAAATTTGCTCATTGCTGGTGTCCTGTTTTAAGGTCCTCGTATCCTCTGTGTGCACAACTGTGCAATATTCAAACAACGTTCTTGGATTTGTACTTGTATTTGCACAGGATGACTGCATTTAAGAATTAACCCCACAGAGTGACAGGGATAAGTATGAATGATAAGTAAACTTGCAGGATGCAAAACCTACTGTGTGCATTCACAAAAGCAGATTTGGATAATCTGTCAAAACCTACACACGCAAAAAAAAGCAGTAAGAAAACCACACACACCCCTCTCATGTTGGGTGGTGGCTTTTCTAGAGTATCAGATGACAAATGCTATGCCAGAATAATGTATTTAGGATTCAAGACTTAAGTTTTTTGCAAGTTACTCACAAACTGAGCATATTCATTTTTGGTGAAAATGTCTTTAATATTAGTATCTTTTTGTAAACTAATATTTTTGTTCACAGAGATCCAAATGTCAAAACAGCAAGTGTCGAAATATTTGAAAAGGGATTCAATTTTGCTAGAAAATAAAGTCAATTGGCAGAGTCAAGTATAGTTAATACAGGATTCTGATTATCTGATGTGAAACAGGTATAGTCACATTAGAACTTTCAAACACTTTCATGTTTCCTTCCTATGAGTGGGTTAGCTAGCCCTAAATATTCATTATCTCAGTCTGTGACAGGTAAAAAACCACCATGCTTCTGGAATCAGTGAATTATTTTTAAATACTAGCATAAAGATTAAAATCCCTGTTTGGATTTTGCACATGAACTACAGATCACTGAAAGTTTCCTGTTGCACTGCAGCAAAAATGAAATGTAACAAAATATTTATTTGCTGCAAAGTACAGCAAGATACTTTGGTAATCTCACAAAAATGTCATACTGGAACTTGTTACAGTGAGTTCAATTTGATCTTTTAATGTAATACAGTACATTTTTATAAACTTAACATTATCATTGCAGAAGAGCATGCTAACTGAATGTTAGCAATTTATCTTTTATACATAATTATAAACTACGGTAGCTATGTATGCAGATCTCAAAATGTTAGTACATAAAATATTCATTTTCTTTATATGAGATGAGAATGAACTTAGAAGAGGTTTGAATACGAGAATGACATATTTGCTGTGCCTATTTCTCAAGAAATAATGATTTACACATTATTACCCAAGAAATCAACATTTAAATTGCAAAACTATAGTTTAAATTTACAATAAACATTATGATCAGTAATGGTGCATCAATATTCCATGAAGTTTAACCTAACCATGTTTATGCACATAAAGCCTCAAGAGTCTGCAGCAGTTTCAGCATTACTTTTTCATTTTTTTTTTATAAAATTGACTTAAAGGTACATCTTCCATAAATGTTTTCAGTGCAATTCTGTCAAAGAGGAAAATACAAAGTTAGCTTTCAATCATTTTATACCATAAAAAACCCTCAACAACTTGCATTTGCACTGCTGAAGCATAAGTAAGCCAGTTCTGTTGTGCCAACTATTTCAAAGTCAATTCACATCAACCATAAACTGCCTTTCTAGTCAGCATTTCCCCCACATCTATAGATATAAATGTTGAAAAGCTGAATACTGGAAGAGGGGGGAAAGTTAAGATGAGGCAGAATAATCTAATTGTTTATAATACTTTTCCTAGTGGTACCAAAAAAAATGAATAATGAAAAAAATTCTAAGGGTTGCTTGTTTTATTAGTGATCTTACAGTTTGGAAATTGGTGGATTTGTGGTTTAGTATTATCCTTTCCTATCATCTTTACAGGCAACCTTGCAACAATATCTTATTTAATGATGGATTATGTGAAAATGCTCCATATTATTCAGTGAAATAAAATTTTCTTAGGTTAGAAATTTATTTTTCACGTGTTGTCAACTGTAGGGAACCAGAGGCAGAACAGCACCTGAAATTATGATGTGTGCTTGGCTAAGCAGAGTATAACAACTGATATATTTTGGTTCAAAGACAGTTTGTAAACTGTTAAACTGTATACAGGATACTGCTCTATGTATTTTGTTTCTTTTGTTGTTTTTTTTTTTACAGGTTATAACTAAAAAAAAAAAAAAAAAAAAACCCAAAACAGAACAAAACAAAACCTCCAAACAAAACAAAAAAAGCCCCAACACAAACCAACCTCTCTCTATTGTAGCACAAAATAAAAACGAAGCTTCATTCAAATCTTGAATACCTTGACCATAATAATTGACAGCTGGTTATTCAACAAAAAACTTAGCTCTTCATACCAAAAAAATTTGGCTCAAAAATCAAAAACAAAACAGAAAGGTACAATAAACTCTCAATAAAAGGATCTCTCATGAGACAACCTACCATATACTACTGCTAGATACGAGTTTCAAAAAAAAACATTACATCCCATTTTCAGCACATTTTTCATAAACATGCAACTTCACTATAAAATACAAAACACTTGGCTCTCAAGAACAGCTTTATAAAGACACACTGCATCAATAAAATTTCTCTTTGTGATTAACTTTACATTGTAATAAGAACTGTATTTTCACTAATGTTTATATATCAGATTTCATATTATAACGTAGTAATAATTTGCTCTTTGTGAACATCATGTTCAGAAGGAAATATCTATACACATTAACATACTAGACTATTAAAAACTCAGTTACAGAATTTTATTGATACAGTAGATTAATAAAAACTGATAGGGGAAGATAAAATGGGTAGGGTATTCAGTACATTATTTAATAACACACTTTTAAAATTAAAGTATTTTAAATCCTTTTTGAATTTTCAATGCCACTACAAGTCCAGAAAAGTCTGGCATCAATACTGAGGTGTAAAACAAAACTTCTTTCCAAATTTGCATGTCTTGTATTATTCTATCCAATATTGTTCAACTGTAAAAGAAAGTAATTTAGCACCTCTGATGATAGGTAGGTGCCTGAAGGTAAACACTAGGTTATATTCATGAATGACACAAAGACTGTTTTTTCTTCTTCTTCTTCTCCTCGACAAATAGTGGCAAAAGAATGTGGCACTATTTGTTCAACTGACTTGTTTTTCACAGTTAAATGTCAACAAGAGTACAAATACGAACACTGACAGATATTGCTTGAGATCAATTTTCAACAAACTCTGTTCTTTTTTTAAATCAATCGATCCAATAAACAGTGGGGTACTGTCAGTTTAAAGCCGCAGATAAAAGCTATACAAGCACTTTATAAGTCAGAAACATTAAAAAAAGAACTATTTACAGTTTTCTTCTTTAGTTCATATGTCTACAAAGCCAGCGCACATTACACTTCACAAAAATCCACAGTTAATGATATCAACATGTGTGTGGCTAAAGCTTGTGACCTAGGGACTGAAAATGCAGGGGCAGTAAAATAGGTTTTGTCTTCTCTTCAGCAACCCCATTTGTGCACTAACAGCTTCATTCAGTCTCAAGCTTTATATTAAAAGCATTCTTCAAAGCTTTCACCTGGAAGGCTGGTAACTACATGCTCACTCATCGTCTTTCCCTTTTGGAAGTTCTGCGACGGACCTATTTGGAGAAAAGATATGTGAAACGTTTTTTACAGAAAAAAAAAAAAAGAAAAAGAAAAATTCAAGAACAAATACATTTTATAATGGAAAAATGCTCAGGCTTACTCAATGTTTGAGTATCCATATGCAGTGTCATTCATTACTCATTTGGTCACAAGTACAAGTCTCAGTCAATGACCAACTCCATTTACTGAGCCTCCATGCTTAATGGAATTCACAACAATGCAGTTTCCTTTCTCAGGGTTTTCATACCACCCTCAGATGCTCCAATCACCAGATTTATCCAAAAGTGTGAAGGCATTCTCAGTTTTAGTGTGACTACTAATATTGCTAATGTATTTGTATGAAATAAAGATAAAAGTGAACTCATTTTAACATATGCTGGTAAGAGGAAGAGATAGTTTAGGATTCTGTTCCAAGACTCCATGCTTATTTTGCAGTACTATTCATTCTGTGTGTCTGTTTTGCATTGTAGGAGCTGCTTGGGGTTGCACGGTTGGGACGGATGGAGATGAGATTTTTTTGAAGCTAAGTCGTATAACTTGCAGTTTATTGCAAAGGGCGTGGGTGAAGGGCCCTGCTGGGAGCTGCCAGCACAGCTCAGAGCAGGGCCAAGAGAAGAGAGGCTTGAAGTGTAAGAGAGTTAAAGACAAAGGTTTAAGAGCGGAGAGAAAGGAGGGGGTGAAGAAGTACAGAGGAGAAGACAGAGAGAAAAGGGCGCGAAGAAGAGCGCGGGACAAAAGGAGAGAGAGTGAGAAGAGATAAGAGCGCAAAAAGAGAGTAAAGTTCTCGTTACAATACAATAAATCATCTTCAGTGTTGAATATTCAGATTCTCATTAACCAATCTACTACAGCATGCATATCCTATAACATTTCTATACAACCTATAAGAATCACTACATTACTATACTGTGTTTTAAACCCTAAATCTTATTCTTTGGGCCCCATCTGCCAAGCTGCAGGGCTGGCTCTGACTCTTAGGCTTGCTTGCTTGCAGAGGGAATTGTTTCTTCTAGGGGGAATTACATTCAGCTGGTCACATCATTGTTTTTTAGCAACTAAGGCATCTCAAAGTTTGCTTTCATTTCAATCTCGCTTATAGTTTCTATATTCTCAAAATCTTTTGCCAGGCAGTCATATTTATAAGGCTTTCTTGTTTCATCCTCCCCAACATTGTATAAAGAAGCTTTATTCATTATTAAAATCTAGAGGAGAAGAATTGCAGGAGTTATCTGGAAAATAATTCCCATTAGATGCTACATAATTCTGGCATACAGATAGGAAATGCTACACAGGATAGAAACTTCAAGATACTTGATAAAAATTATATTTTCTAAGAAATGCAGCTTCTCTAGGAAACTACAGTGCAGCTCCACTACACAACAGTGGAGGCTGACAACCACCCTATTCATTTTAAAGGAGGAAGGTTAAGTTCTAAAAACAAGAAATCATTCTAAGAAGAGAGGCCATTGTCTGATCATCAATACACAGAGAACACCCCAAAGACTCACAAAGAAAAGCTCAGGCATTTCTCTTACATTGATTGTGGAAACTTCCTCTTCTTCCATTACTTCTTCCTGGGGAATATCATCACTGACAGGTGAACTGCTCTGAAACACATCCATCTCTTCACTGGATTCATTCTCTTTACTGGCTGCTTGTTTGGAACGCCCTGCACGGCTACAATGAGAAGAAGAATAAAGATCAGCTTCACAGCACCTGTACATCTATAATATGTATGTATAAACTGTATAACAGAGCAAACATTCTAGTTTACAAAAACAGCAACGTTACCATTTCATGTTATATAATGCTGCTGTCTTTTACACCTGTCTAGTTCATCATGCACAGAACTGAAGTGAAACTAGGAGGCTGGACAACACCATTTGAAACAAAATTGCTCCACAATAGAGGCCCAGGAGCACAAAGCTGAACAATTTTGCCTCTACAGACGTGGCAGATTTTTCTCTTCAGTGCCATGATATAGGCCAAAATAGGTTGACACAACACTAACCAGTGAACAGGAAAAGCCAACAGCCAGAGACTGAATACCGTTTGCTAGTTTTCTCTCTATTCAATTTCATGAACAGATGTACTCTACTTCTCCAAGACTTCTTACACAACAAATCTGAATAATTACATCTATGTTTCTTCAAACCTAGAAGAACCCATATTACTACCCATGAAATTAACACCTAAAATGCAAATCGTCCAAGCTATTTAGGGATAACCAGTGTAACAATACCTTAATCAGGATAATCAAGAACAATCAGTCAACAATACCTTAAACTGCCTGTATTGGTTATGGGATTTGTGCCACAACCAGAAAGCACTCATTTGCTTAAAAGGAGAATTAGCCAACATTCCTTGCCTTTAAAAAAAGCCAACTACAAATGTATCCAAAACTCCACAGTTGCACCTACAATACAGTAGAACAATTCAGAATCAAATCACTGAATCATCCCATTTAACTACAGGTGCAGTCCTGGTGCACCCAAAGTTGGTGACGTTTTGATTGAAATGAAACCAGAAACTCAGTTCGAGGCACACAACAGACTTCGATCTCCAGTGGGGGCACAGATCCAAAACAATCGTACTCTGATGCTATCACATTGTGAAAGTGGTAGGAATTTTCAACCCTGAAAACCACTAAAATTCAGACAAAATAAAATCTCTCAACTGCACAGCAATTATAGTATTTCCAACCAAGCAACTTGCCATTCCTTAACACAAATTAGCCCAACTCAAGTCCTCCAAGACTGGTAGAAGCAACAGAATTGAAAAGGAAGCAGAAGAATGATTCACAGGCTAGGTTCTTCCTTTCATATATCACAAAAATAAGCCTGTTCACATGTGCTAATTGGTAACCCAATTTGCTATCAGAAATAGGTTATACACTACCACCCACAGGATACATTATCACCTCATACACAAAATCCCAAATTCTTATGCCAAATCCACTGCCAAGGAGCACAGAAAGCTTTAAGCATTTGGTATAAATATATTTATCTTGCAGAACACAATGCTGGCTCAGTCTATCAACTTCCTTCAGTGAAAACTGATGTAGATGAGGGAGAAAGGCTTAACTACAATGCACTATGAAGACTGAGAAATGGCTACTGTCTCACCTTTTTCTTGCAGATTTGGAAAAAGAACAGTCAAAATATGAGTGGTCTGATAAAACAAACAAACACAACCCCATTTTTATTTTTTAAATGAAATCTACAATAGATCCAACAACTTTGAACCCTGACAGCTGACAGGAACTATGTAGATCCATGTGAATGAGAGCTATGCTGGTTACTGATTGTGGGTAGTGATATAGTTTACTGTCTGCTAAAAATGGAGTAAAGAAACATACCGATTTCACAGAGAAAAGTTATTTAAGTATTTAGTAAAAGGCATGTTTGACAAACACCACATAGCACATCACCCAACAATAACTTGTTGGTTTGTCTTCCCTGCATGGCAGAAGCAGTTTCCAGCTCTTGTTCTACCTCAAGAGTGGTAGTGACTTCTGGAGTAAGCAGCCAGTGTTGGTCCTATGTTTCTGGTTACAGAGTAAGGGAGAAGCACAGGTCTGACCTGAGGCAGGGAAACTGGAAAGGTCAGGATGGATTGCATGCAATATGCCAGATCATGTGATCCAGAGTGAGCCCAGAATTTGAAATGAGGGCACGAGCTTGTTCAGGCAAGGTTCTCCTGTAGGGAAGATCCCTGCTTTAAGGCAAGTCAGTATACTACACTTCCAGAGGAAGAGCAATGTTATGCTAAGCCCAAAAGCCAGAAAGACAACAGAGATATTCAACAGCGTCAGACAGTAGATGTCCCCAAGTGGCGACCCAAGGAATTTATATCAGGTTTTAGAAAAGTAAATATTCTCCATGAGCTGCAGCTTGAGACAAGTGGCCAAATAACCCCTTGTGCACCGCTGCTTACATATATTATCTATACATGTACAGAAACCTGTATTTTCCTATAGCAGGCACAAAAAAATAAAGCTAGCCAACAACAAGTTTACCTTCATTTGAGAACTTAATGCACTTCAGAATTTTCAGAAGCTACTACCCTTCACTGATCACAACACATCTTTCCCACATGAAAATTATTTAAGTGGATAGTAAGAAGGCCACAAATTAGAAAGTGAACATTAATTTAAGGAGAATCAGCATAAACTTAATTCTCCACAATTCTGTTTCACCATAGTAACAATTTGATTCTTCCCCGCTATCTGAAACAAACAAGGCCACTTTCCTCTCCCCTAAGTCCTATTAAAGCCCTGTCTTCAAGGCCTCTGTATGCTTTACTGACTTTTCTCTCGAAAAAGCAAAGCTACACACATGATACCTGAGCACATTAAAATTATTTAAAGCCTCCTGCTCTGTTGCGAGATGTCCTAGGAGAAGCAGCTAAGGAAAACATTTTAGAAATAACAATAGCAATTTATTTTCTTAACTGTCAACTACAGCATTCCAAAGTATTTTCAGTAAAGGCTTGCTTAGGGGCACAGAGGCATTATTTAATTTTCACTAAACACAAATTTAGAGGACTTACACTTTTTTTTGCTGTGCTGGTGGTGTTTGTGATGACCTTCCTCGTCTTTTCTGTGGCGTAGACTGTGCTGATTCAACTGTACTAGTTTCAGATGGTTCTGCTCTGTTTTGAGGAAGACCCAAATTGCAAAGCATCAAATTATAACTAATGTCCAAAGATAAAAAGCACACAGCTTACAAGGAGATGGACTTACCTCTGCTGTGTTCTTTTTGATGTCCTGTTTTGCCTGCCTTTTGGTTTTTGTTCAATATTTTCAGTTTGCCTTTCTTCCTCCTCCTCCTCCTCTTCCACTGCAGCTGCTGGCGGTTGTTTTTTTTTGCTCCTTTTTGATGACTTTGCCGCTGGTTCTTCCTTTGGTGCTGTCCCATTATTTGTTCTGGTAGGGCGTCCTCTCCTCCCTTTCTTTGGTGGACTGTTCTGTTCATCCTCACTTTCTATCACATCTTCTTTTAGCCTTTTTTCCTCTTGCCATTGTGTTTCATCAGCTTCTGATACAACTGCAGGTCTCTTCCTTCCCCGTTGACTACCTCTAAGCTTCTGCTCTTGACCCACTTTATTCAGGTCATCTATGCTTAGCTTTTCTTCTGAATCTGTGATAGTGGCTTTCTTCCTTCCTCTAGGCTTCTCCATCTCTGACTGAAAAGGCAAGATTGCACCATTAAATTAAAAAATTAGGCTGCCGTATTAACAGTCACATGTAGAAGCTTCCTCCAACAAGACAGTCTTCAAAGTACACAAGTTGTCTCAGATTGTTTACCGTATGCATTTCAAAAACACTTGCAAAAATATAAACACACACCTACATATAAAATACCAGACAATGGAGACAGATTATTTGAAAGGTAAGTAGTTAAAACCCTGAAGTGTGTAAGGTCTTCCTCATTTGTATCCTCTGCTGTGTCCAACACAGTAGGACAGAACATCCATAACTGTATTTCTATCTAATAGGAAAACATAAAGACAGAGAAGATGGGAATTGCCAACTTGTGCCTCCAGCTCTTGTTGTGAGCTGCAGGGTGCTTATGCCTGGCTCCTGTGCCAGCACTGGCAAGGCACTAATACAGAGAAGACAGTGGGCAACCAGACTTTACAACCGTAGAAGGAAGCACAGGAATTAGTGGTAGCTGCCAAGTCACTATTGTCAGAGCTGTACCAACATTTGCTCCGAGCAGCAAAACAACCCTTAAACACTCAAGCCTTAAAACAAACAGCTTGGATCAGAAGGGACCTCTGATGATCATCTCATTCCAACCACCCTGCCATGGGCAGGGACACCTTTCACTAGACCAGGTTGTTCAAAGCCCCATCCAACCTGGCCCTGAACATCTCCAATGACAGGGCATCTACAACTCATCTGGGCAACCTGTTCCAGTGTCCCACCATCCTCACTGTAAACAATCCCTTTCTTATGTCCAATCTAAACCTCACCTCTTTTGGTTTAAGACTGCTCCCCCCTGTCTCATTACTACAGGACAAGTCAAAAGTCTCTCTCCATCTTTTTTACGTGCCCCTGTCGTATTGGAAGGCCGCAATAAGGTCTTCCCAGAGCCTTCTCCGCTTCAAGCTAAACAATCCCAAGTCTCCCAGCCTTTCCTCTTAGCAGAGGTGTTCCAGCCCTCTGATCATTCCAGTGGCATTTCTCTCTGGGTCTGCTCTAACAGATCCATGTCTGTCTTCTAATGGGAACCTATAGCTGGACACAGCACTCCAGAGGAGTGTCCCAAGAGACATCAAGAATCCCCTCCTTGCCCCCACTGGCCAATCTCCTTTTGATCAGCCCAGGACATAGTTGGCTTTTGGGCTGTGAGCACACATGGCTGGCTCGTGTCTTGTTTCTCATACATGACTGACCCTGAGAGTCCTTCTCTGCAGGGCTGCTCTCAACCCCTTCATCCCTCAGCCTGTATGACTACCGAGGATTGCCTGGAGCCAGGTGCAGGACGTTGTACTTGGAGCTCTTGAACCTCCTGATGTTCCCCTGGGCCCAATCCTCAAACCTGTCAAGGTTCCACTGGATGGCAGCCCTTTCCCCTAACATATCAACAAAGTAGAACCCCTTCTGATTCATAAGGTTTGAAAACATATTCATAGAAACTATTCCTTTTTCTCTCCATGCTCTAGTTCTCTGAAGAGCACAGTAAAGAGCCATAGACAGTGCAAAGATTTCAGTAAGCAGCTGCTAGGGCAATATTGCCCCAAACAACCCTCAGAAAAATAAAAGCAGAAAATATTACCTAACCACCATTTCATGGGTGACTCTTTCATTTCACATCATGAAATTATCCAAAAGTCCAAATATTTACACTATTTCTGTTTCATACCAATGTTTGTTTCATAGTAACACTACTGTATTCCAACACATTTATTAGTATTTACCACGTTGAAATTTCATCTACATAAACAGAGATAGATCATTTAAAATATGAATGAAGATTTTTCCCTGTACATCTGCCTTATGACATAACATACAGGTCAGCTTACATATTCATTCATGTTTCCATTTTAACCAAAAACTTTTTTCAAGAAAAGCAGAAAGAAAATCTAGGAAGGATATGAGGGTAAAAAGGAAAAGAAATTGAAGGACAAAAAATTACCCTAGAAGAAAATAAGAAAAATGTTTGATCAATGATGACATCTCCTGTCAGTTCATTTCTTCAGTGACATTCTTCAATGACATCCACTTTATTTGCTTTTGCAGATGCACATCTGTCACTGCAGCTCCTTTTAGCCAGTAAGTAACTGCTGCCAATTCTCAAAGTAAAATTTCTCCCTGGGGCTAAACAGTGTCCCACAGCCTTAGAACTAAGGTGTTAATCTGTTAATCTAATGTGTTAATCTAGACAAATATCCTGAAGAGCGATACCTTTAGAACATGGACCTTCTGCTACGCAATGAAAATCCTGCTTCTGAGGTAACCCTTGCTGTAATCTGCTCCCCATGTCCAAAAAACCAAAAATGTATTCTGAATCCACGATCTTGAGCAACTTGTTTACAGATTTGAAGTGGAATGATCCTCTCAAAAGTATTCAAGACACTGACCTGTATTTGCTTTATCACTGAGTTTTCTCAGTAGTTACCATTTCAACTAATGCTTCTAAACATGAATTGCATGCCAGGAGCTGTCTGGACTCTCAGGGTTTACAGAAGTGTTTTGTGGTTTTTTTTGACAAGAGACTCCAGATTTTTCTTATTTAGTTATAAACTGGTTTGCTTTTCCCATAGTATATTATAGTTACTTATACTTCAAGACAAGCAAAAGTTCTGGAATTTTTACTAGTCAGTAGCTTATGTCCCAACCAACCTAGAAAAATGCACCAGAATGACATAATGAGAGAAAAGAGAAATGTCAGAGACAGTAAAAAGAAATAAAGCAGCGGTGACATCAGATACAGGACATGTTTAATGCAGCCTAGAAAATCCAATTCTAGCAAATCTGATCTTATTACTTTCTCATGCGTATCCCAAATACTACAAAATTTACAGACTGTCAACTGCTATTAAGGAACAAAGAAGTGAAACTTACTAGTGGTAAGGGAAATTCTTATTATTTTATCTGACCTGCTTTTAGAATTACAATACAATTATAATTTTCTTCTGGGGTTTATTTTTCTGTATTCTGATACAGGTATAAATACTGCTTAAGGTAATATTTAGCCAGCTTGCAGCTTCTTTTACATATGAAAGTACTACATCTGAGTGAGATGTTTTATATCCTCATTAGGAACCTTTCTTATTACTGAACTACATATAGATACATATATATATCTCCATTGGTAAGAATTAGTAAAGATACTACCACTCTCCTAAGCCTCTGTAACCTCAGGGACATGATTTCAAGGTGGACTTCATTCTTCCAAGTTAATGGCCGGATTAATGACCTTTAAAGGTCTTTTGCAACCTATACGACTCTATGAGAAACAGAACCTTTTTTTTCATTGTATTTTCATATCCAACTCTAAACACATTTTCCAGTAGTTTAAAATATCAGCTCAGTTTCATGTTTCAACATATTTTTTAATTATCTCAAATATCATCACATGAATCTTAACTGCTCACCCTTACAAGATCAGAGTCGTCCCTTTTGTCAGTTTTCTTTCCTGGTAAGGGTGAAGCCAGTGTGAATTCTTCATTTTCACTGTGGTCCATTTCAGTACTGTCAAGCCTAGGATGAATAAATATATATTTCCCCCATTGGTATAATACATTGGGCAATCATTAAAAAAATACTAAGGACAACAAGTTTCATTAAAAAAATCTATTAATAAACCAAGAACAATTTGGCAGAAGGAACCTTTCACTTGTGGGTACTATAGATATCAAATGTCACAAGCCACATCCTTTAAGTCTCAAGACAAATGTTTGGATCAAAACCATGTTCAATTTTCTCTTTTCACTGGGAAAAATATGCAGCCTTTTTAAACAGAAGAGTGTGAGTTGCAAGAGATTTGTTTGCATACAATTGCCTACACTTTCCTATAGCCATCAAAGATTCCCACAGACAGACCAGCCAAAAAACACACATCTTCCCATGGTGAGGTTTAGGCAATAAAACAGGAATTCAAATTTCCCTCTGCTTTTTGCAGCAGCAATTTCATTTGTATTTCAGTTTCTACAAATGTAAGTGTGGACAATATTTCCACGCTTTTTTCCACACAATTTACATATGCCTCCTGCATATGTAAAACACCAAGACCCACAGATAAAAGGTAATGCACAAAAGCCAATGCACAAGTCATTTAATTTCATCTGTAGAAGCAAGACTTTTAAATACCAGTGCATGCTTTTTAATGAAAAGAAATACGCTATGTGTGGAAATGAAAAGTGGTACTGAAACACACAAACTCAACTCCTTGGCCTGGGCACTGCACAGTGAGTGAAAGATGTTCTGTCACCCCTACAGATGTACAATCTATATTAACTGGAATGGTATTATTAATGGGAAGCTTAGGTTTTATACATCCTCTCAAAAGATGCAAATCTGCCTGTACATATTCAGACAGACTAAACTAGAAATATCATGCATCCTGAATCCTTCCCATCTCTTCTCTTGGTCTTTGGCATCTCCACCCAAAACACTAATCCCTTAAACTTCAGTGAACTGGGGAGATCATGAAGATGACAGAACATGTTAGGCTGTGAGTGCAGCATTTTTTAAAATTTGATCTCAGATTCGTTTTGCTGGATACAGAGAAGAATTGGAGTCCTAGAACCTGTCATTAGCCAGTAATACAGTGCAGCATGTGAACCTGCATGACATGTATGAAATAAGCCTTTCTGCAGACTTTCCAGTGGAGAAATATTTCTTGTAAAACACTGCACTACATTTAAAATTAATACTATATATTGAATAGTCACAGCAGTACCAAATGAGAACTCTTAAATTCAAACACAACATTTCCTAAGTCTTGAAAGAATGTGAAACAGTAGAAAAAATACAAATAGTGAAGGTTATACAATCTCTCACTGTCCATGAAAAAAAAAAAAAAACTAGTGACAATACAACTTTCAGTTAAAAGAAAAAAATGAACATAAGATACATAAACTGATGGATAACCTACAAAATTGGCACAAAATTAGCCATAATTTTAAAGACAGATAACTAGAAGATGACATATAGCGTTACAGCACACTCATCTCTCCATCACTAAGCTAACCTAAAATCCAAAAATATTTGTCTGCAAAGTCCAGCAAAGTGCAGTACTCAAGGAGTCATGCAGGACCACTACAAAGGTCTACCAGTCCTTCCTGGGTGGGATGTGTTTGTAGCATTACAGCCAGGTTCCCAGGGACTGCAGCTGTGTGTACAGACACACACATACACACCTGTGTACATATATACATGTGGGGGGATATAACTATCTACCTAAAACACACCACAAAAAACCCCAACCCTGCCCTCAAAAAAGTTAAAATATATGATGCTTTCCTTTTCTCCTTCAGCCAATTCTGGATGTAATTTGATTCTGCAGTTTGGGGGGTTTTTGTTTTGTTTTTGGGGGTTTTTTTGTTATTTTTTGTTCTTGTTTGTTTTTTGGTGGGTTTTTGTTTGGTTGGTTTTTGTTGTTTTGGGATTTTCTAAAATTTATTTCTGCAGTTAGAAAGCCATATTCATGGTTTCAGTTGTACCAATTTAACTTTACTTCAATGTAAGATAAAAGAATTCTGTCTTTTACTTAGAAAACATTATAGAAATATTCAAGGTTTCCATTACAAATATTTGAAATATCAAAGATCCTTTGTTGTCTACCAACCTCCCTTTGATCCTTCCCGGAGAGCTTGGATTTGAACTGCTGCTGGCATTGCTTACAGTTTCCATTCGTGAAGATTTGGATTGAGACTGCTTGCCTGCTGACGAAAGAGGCTTATTAACTGCTCCAAGAACATTGGCTGCTTTGGGCTGAAACCAAAAATATAGTTCCTTTATTTTAAGCTACACGTTCAGATATTGTTAACATGTACTATGCTTAAAATAGTCACAGATTTCACTTTCTGCAATCATTATGTTAATTTTAACACAAAGTGATAAACATATTCGTATGAAGGCTACAACAGACACCAGAAGGAAGCTGAGGGAGCTGCAATCAAAGAAGTAGCTGCCACCAAAGCTGGTATTCTTCTCTCTAGCCTTGGATTCTGTCCTCCTCTCTTTGGAAGTGCTGTGTGCTCACTGGACCACGCAGTCAAGCACTGTGTCACTGTACTTTCTGCTGATTTATCTACCTGAACCAGCTCCCCATCCGCATTAGAAAAGCACCTGGCCCAGCAAAGCAGAAACAGCAGCACAAGGGCCCTTTCAGCAAAGGAGACATTACTGGCAACCACACCAGTCTCAATGGGGAATAAATGAGAATCTCAAAAGTCAAATACTGTGGAGAAAATTCTGATACTTCTTGCACAGATTTAAAAATTAGGCTTTTATTAAGTGCCACAATTTCCAGACACTGGTGAGCTTCAGGTTATTAATTTAACTGGATTGCCTTTCAGACCTGCCAACCACCTCCAGCTCATACTAACTTTTGAGAGAGCTGAAAGAGTTCAATTATTCTTAAAGAGAATGCCAAACACCCATGTACAAAAATTTTGAGTTAAAGACCATTCCCTGCATCTCTCATTATCCATCTTCTCCTTCAATATTAGATTCTAACTATATCTGCAGTTAGTGACAGCTACAAAAAGTTCAACATGCATATCATATCAGCCTTGGGTGCTTCTTTTTTCAGAGCTACAGACCGTGGAAGTTCTGGTTATACTTTTATAGCCAGAGGAAATTTTACACCTAGAAAGATTCATTCTGCACTGAACACAAAAAAAAATAGCATATGCTTTCCAAAAATAAACCTTAGAGAACTAAATCCAGCTTAACAATTTACTTCTATTAGTTTAGAACTAAATGTTAATCAGTGTATGCTGAAAGAGCTCAAAAGCAAAGAGATTTTCAAATTCACACCCAACTGGATTTTCTGCTGAGGAGGGACTAAGAGGGCCTGCACAGAGAGCTCCTCCCTTCCACAGAATCTACACTCAAAGCCTTCCTGCCTTCATTGTTATCTGCTTATATCCACTCCACTAACATTCACCCAAGCCAGTCTTCCACTTGCAAAAATAAGACAACCCAGACCAACTTTCATTTCATGCTCCTCCCATGATGGTGAAGAAACTGACAATTTTTGTGGTCAAATACACCTCTCCTGTTACAAAGTGTCAAAACCACACAACAAGAGCTAGAGTACTCAGCACTAGAAATTTAAATAATATAAAAGTTAACTTAGGATTCAAAAGAATTTCAATGATGATCTATTCCAATCCACAGATGTTAACTTTCAATTTCTCAAAGAGAAATCTGCTTCTTTTCCTAGCTTGCACTCCTCCTTTATTATTAAGTTACTATCTGACAGTTAATGCTTCATTAGCAAAGTTAAGAGTAATGAAGATTTCTTTCTTTCACAAGGTAACAAATTAATGTTCTTTGTCATCTGGAACAGGATGCATTAATCCAGATGAAAACCACAGTTTGTCACTTCCTTTACCAGATATTAATTTTATCCTAAAGAGTACCTGGGTTTAGTTTTAGTGAAGAAAGAACACTGCCACCATTCAATAGAATGCATATTCTGAAGGAACAAATTAGCAAAACTATAGAACAGTCAGTTATCTTATAAGGTACTGTAAAATTATATTCAGCTTTGCCAAACATTAATGACGTGCCTTTTAAAATTATTTCTGTTAGAGTTTTTCACAGTTGCCACTTTGTCTGCAACATTGGAGTCTTCAGCAGTCTAAAAAGGTTAAACATTTTGTCAACTTGACAAATATTATGGGTTATATTGGGATGGTTTTGGATCCTCTCCTTCTAAAGGCAACAACAGGCTTTGCCCATTGTGGCCACCACCTAGTATAGACAGCAGCAGTTTTCCTTTCACCCATCTCTTTCTCTATACCTAGAAACAACTGGTTCTCTTAAACATAGCGATTAGTTAATTACATGCTAGTTTTCTTCAAAAAACAAAACCACCAAAAAAACCCACAAAGAAAGCAAACAAAACTGTCACTCCAAAAACAAAGACAAACCAGAACACAAACATAGCACTAAACCTCAACCCCCCATACCATACCTACCTTTCCAGGGGTGAAAAAAGACTTCATTTCCGGAGGAAGATAATTTTTGGTGTTACTGAAATTCTGAAAAAAAGGGGGTGGGGGCAATTACAGCAATAATCAGCGAACAAGAGATAAACATTCTGGAGCTTGTACTGAAAGATTTAATTTACATCATTTGTGCTTTTGATTTTTTAAACTAGAACAGTAATATGGGAGTAGGAGGGAAGAGAAATTGGTGTCTGCACATATATATATTTATGAAAACATATACATACATACATTTTCAACACACATTTTCATGTAAGAGGGAGAAGTCTGAAGATACAAGAAATATTTAAGAGAAACAACTGTGAATTACAACTAGCAAATATTTAAACAGACTTATCTCAAGAAAAATTAAATGCCAAAATATACCTTGTCAGGTTGAGTAAAATATCTGGCTGGAAGTACAGGGTCTTTAGGGGATTCCAAACTGTATGTTGTACTCTTTGACATAATGATATTCATTGCTACATCACAGACTGTATATAGTTTCTGTAAACAATAAAATTTAAAAACCAGTTCATTGAAAATCTTGAAAAAAGACAGTGTATCTTTCATGCACAGGACCACAAGAAATCACAGTTCAAAAGCAATCATCTTAAATATTTAACACTAGCCTGCATCTTAAACAGTGTCTCTCAGGATACTGAAATACAGATGGTAAAAGCAAAAGTATTGTGAGTCTAACAGTTGAAGACTGATGGTTTTCATGGTATTCCTGCACTTAAGAGTAATGCTTGCTATAGTTTCTATGACAAAATTAATCAAATGAGCACACACATCCCACAAACCCAGTCCCCAAAACACATTTCTGGGGGAAAAGCAGAAAAGGGACAAATCTGGACATGATGTGATGCTAAAACCACAAGAAAAAAGGTTTGATACATGCACTATACAATACCAGAGATTTCTAATGTATTTTTCTTCCTCTATAAAATTTACTCTTGCACTTTAGAAATGAAATACTAAAAAGCACTTTAGTGGATGATCTAAATAGTAAATTTTATAGTTTGTATCTATTTAAACTTAGTGTTCAGTAATCTTACTGATACAGAAACAGAATAACTGAAAACTATTACGACTCCCTTGCAAATGTGCAAGAATTACTGAAGCACAGGAAAATAACTGCTATCTAAACTAAAATAAATATAATGACTGCAGTAAATATCTTTTCATATGTACAATTCTATTGAAAGACATCTTCAAGTTGGTGTATAAACAAAAAGCAAGTCCTTCACATTACCAGGCCAGAATTAAATGCAATTTTCAATCAAAAAGTATCACTTACTTCATTCATTTTTTGATCATCTGGTCCTTGAGCATCCTTAGTCTGTTTGATATTTTCTACCATTTTTCTGATAAAGGCATGACTGTTGTTTTCATTTTTAGCCATTAATATTTCCAGTATGAACCACAGGCACCTAGAGGAGAAATAAAGTATCCCACATGAACCAAAGTACAAAAGAAATCCCTTTAAAAAGCACATCTCAGCATCTGAGAACATGATTAAGTCCAGCTTTTACTAGTATTATGAATTTGAACTAGTCTAACTCTGAGAAAACAGTTCTTTTGGAAAAATGAAATGAAAATGAGCAGAAGGTGAAAGGTTCGTCTATAAAATCTCACAGAGGGCTAAAAAAGCACCTATACTATTTCTCTCAATATTTTACAGAAGTTACTGGCATCATTATGCATGCTGGACTGTGTAACAGAGTACAGCAATTAATTAAAATTCCACTTAGAATAAAGTTAGAAATAACACTATTAAAAGTGGTCTTACTCTTTAATATCCTTGAGTTGCTCAATGTCCTGGACTTTGACATAATCTGGGTCATGAGCTAGAAGATGGATAGTATAAGGAACAACATACTCTGGTAGAAGTGACAACAGTTTCTCTGAAAAGAAGAAGAAAGATGCATAAAAAAACTTCATACCAAGAAGTATGCTTTCTACCAAGGAGGAGAGGGCAAATCTTGAGGGCAGCATGCATTACATGATGTGGGCCTATCATTTCTCTATGATGTTTCATTTCATGGCTGCTGTGCACATGTTTCATGCATGCAACAATTAAGATTTTAAGTATCTCTCACTCAGGGCTGCTTGTTTTCTAGCTACCTTGAGATACAGCTCCAGTTACCTCCTACTCCCAATCCTTTCCTCAGTTCAAAGCCTGTATTCTGAAGGACTTGAAAAAGCAGACGTGAGGATGGATCACAAAATCCATGCTGACTGCAAGAAGTGCGACCAGCACAACTACAGGATAAGTCACTACTATTTCTTTGGACATTGCAGTGTGCAGCCTTGCTGTCAAGAGAACAAAGGCTTTCTGCAGGGATTTTACAGTCAAATTGCCACAATATCTGTTTCCAGAGGAGTGGGAGGTCACATGAAAGCTGTAACAAAGTAGTAGTGCACTGAGTTTGAAAGGCTCAACCCCACCTAAACAGAGCAGCACAACTCTATTGTGACATTCAAAGCATTCAATATATTTTCTATCATTCTCTGAGATTTTTGGAATCCCGAACAGGACTACAAGAAAGTCTTTCCTCCATCATGACAGTCTGAAGGCCTATCTCCCTTGGGGATTCAAAAAGGAAGGGCTGTTGCCAATGAGTTTTTCAGAGTTATGATCACAAAACACACTTTCTGTAAGATAAACTCCCTGAGCCAACCAACAACATGCAGTGTGTACTCCAGCACCTCAGAGATCACCTCCCAAGGGTCATGGACAACAGATGGACAAGCTGTGCATCAAATGTAAAAAAAAAACATTTTTCAGCAAACATCCACACTGCTGACTTCAGCCTGATGCCTGAGTGAAGCAGGAGGACACACAGCACACCCAAGTTACTAAACCTGCACCCTGTGCAACAGGAAGGACAATGGTCAGAAGAAGGCATCCTGAAATTCCATGCATGTTGCTATGGCACAAGCATCTGATCTTTAGTGCTTGTGGCAAATGCAATATTGTAGTATTGACATGGCTTCAATGTTCATGTGGAGGGAAGAGGGAAATCCCCAGCTCCGCTTTTGAAATGCCATATTTTGTGATAGTAAGCGCATGACCAAGTCTGGAAAATCTTCCTTCAGTAAACTTTTACCTATACAATATTCAGTTATGAATAAGTCCAAACATCTGTAAATTATTATGTACACTAATAAGATTTGAAAACTATTTAAAAATACATTAGAAGACTAACAGTTTTACCTCCATTATATGCATTCATATGAACAATTTGCTTGACATATCAGCATGTGCTTGAGAAATATTGTGTGCATCAAACAAAATACACCATTATTGCAGATTTTACAAAATTAACAAATTAATTGCCATGCATACATCAAGTCTTAACCTATACCTTTCTTAGAGATCTGTATAAATAGGGGCAATGCACAGTCTACATAAAATATATATCATTTATAAAATCAATGTAGAGTGATTTTCAAGCCATATTTATGTAATTGAAATCCAGTATACTTCGCAAAGCAGTTTTCAGTGTGTTTCAATTGACACTGCACTATTAACTTTAAAAACATCCTGTTTGTTTTCAAGCACTGTCCTGCATTTTAGCCAGCAGCTGTTCACATTACTAAACAAAAAAATAAAAATAGCAGGGAAAGAAAAGAATATAATTAAAACTTCAGAACACTAGCAAAATTGGCTTGTCTTAGATATGCCCCACACAAACCAAACCACTATTATTTGCACTAATTAGCAGCTTCAATAGAATGCTAATCAAGAGCTCATAAACTCAGTTTTTCACTAACTTCCTGCCTTGGACCATTTCTCATATAGCTATAACAATAATTCCAACTGGGTCTGGAAAATAAAATGAATTAGTTCCAGACAAAACAGGGAAAGAAAAAGTATTGATACATATTATATTTAACCCTGTCATGACAAAAATCAGTAGGGAAAAATAGAACTTTTCTCTCTAATGAAAGAAGACCCTACCTGAAAGGTAGGGTGGCTTTCCTACCAGCACATAAAACTACAATGTGCTAAAACCCCTCACAAGAGTCCTTTATGAGCTTTTAGGAAGAACACTTGTTAAAAAAAAATTAATCTTTACTCTTGTAATTTTTCTGCTTACTGTCGTTTAAGTAAAAGCCCATCATGGGAACATAAAAATTCCTACGCAAGACACGTCTCTACCCAGATGAAACTAGTAAAAAATACACAATCAAAATAAGTCTCTTCTTGAGTGGTTTCCACTCTGAATAGAATTTAGAGAATTTAAGAGGGCTGGGAATAATTCCTGCCAGCCTATAAAAGGCCAGTGTGGAAGAAAGAGGTGTTTTACTGTTGGGTACTAGTGCTTACGAAGTTTTCCTCAGGCAGGGTAAGCAGAAATTTACCATATTTTCAACAAAAGCTGAATTCCCCCCCAAATATCCAACAGATATCCTCCTCACCTGTATAAAGTTTTCAAGACAAAACATATCACAGAATCACACATTTCTAGATTCAGACAAATAGGTGGAATAAGCAAAGATGTAGATTTCCAAAGGAGGTACTGCCATCATTACCAGCCTGAGTTACTGCATGGTCAGCACGGAGAGTGGCAGAGGGAGACACACATTTAAATATTGTGTTCTTTCCAGAAATGAGCTTTGGCTGAACTGCTGCAATATGGATATTTTAGGATACAAACAGTTCAAGACATTCTATTTGCTGAAAGCTCAGACTGGTAAATCTGAATGACACAAAGTTAAGATTGTAATCCTCAAAAAAATCCTGCACTCTATATTTAATCCAGACTCCCCATGCATTATAGCATATGTCAAATCAAAGGCATCACACAATTATTTCAGCAAGAAAATAAATTATCAGGTGCACTTGGAGGTCCTACTGGATAAAGAAAAGCACAAACACCTAGGTTCCTCTTAATTTCTTCCACAGATTTTTGACAGTAACTTTGCAGCACCTATTTTTCTTATGCTTTCTGTCTACACAATTAAAAAGAGATTTCAACTCTCAAGAGTAATAATCTTAAAATTACTTAGAGGTGTTTGTTCAATTTATTTTTTTCTTTTTTACATGTTACTGAGTGGGAGAAAAGTACCACTTTTTTCTTTAACTCATCTAATTAATGATACATTAGGGATTTGTCTGTAGACTTGTTCTCTGATCAGAGTCTAAGAGGACTGGGAAAGACTGACTGACTCAACGAATATAAAGTGATTCCTAAACACAGAAGGAAGTCAGTTATCTAACAGCATCTCTGAGATCAGATTCACAAAACAGGTCTGGTTTAGGCTAAAAGGATGAAAAAATCCCCTTCATTTCACAAAAGTCAAATCATCAGTAATCTTTCAAATAAATAAAACTTTCAAAACCTCTCATTCAAAACTGCTATAGCTCTTCATAAAGGCCTACTTTTTCCTATGACTCTGTACCAGCATTGTAATAGTGCATGTCTGTAGCTTTAAGTCAAAAGGACTGACTTAATAACAGAAAAATAGCTGACATGAGCCCATAATAACTTCCAAAGCATTCTCACCATCAACCACTGGCACTGAGAAGAAAGAATTGCATCAACTCATCCTGAAGTGCCAACAAATATAGCTCTTTGCAGGAATAACACAAGATCCTACTCAATACAGCAGTGCAAGGACAGTCTATTTAGTACAGCATTTATGTATTAAAGTTACTTATTAGTAATTGCTGAAGTAAAATTAATCATTGTCACTTCACTTAGAACATTATTAACATTATTACGTTCAAATAGTACACATAATTGCCTTGGAAAATTACTTCACTTCCAATATATTTAGGCATAAGCATTTGCACAGTTTTTAACAGAACTCAAAGACCTCAGCAGTGCCTGTTAAAAAAAAAACAACAACAAAATAAAATCTGGACCAAAGAAGACCTGAAAATTTTCAGTTTTCATTAGATACTTCCAAATCAAATTTACAGTGGTTCTGTGTATAAAAACAGACAACTATCAATGTTTTCAGTCAACTCACATTTATACATGAACTACACCACTTGTAGCAAAAAGTGACTTCTATTCTCTTACCACTAACTGCTGCATGTTGCTTCAGATATTCCCTTCTGACATTTATGTTCTTCACAAGGCACTGCCTAGCATGAGCTCTTCTCTCTTTCACGGGATCTTTTGCACACAGTGCACAAATAGCCATATATTCTAGTGGCAGCCGTAGTCTAGAAAGGCCTTTGTGAAGCTTCTGAGCAAATATTTGTCTCACTTGGTAACATTCATCCTATTAAAAAAAAAAAAAAAAAAAAAAAGGCAAAACCAAAAAAGATAACTGTAAACTTTTCTTAAAGGAATATAAATTATAAAATACAGCATGGAAGCTCAAGTAAATATGCTAAAACCAATTAGACCTTGAAGCCACTGAAACATAGAAATTGCAAGAATTTTTTTTTTAATGCCAAGTCAGAGCAATTTAATTGAATTAATCAGCTGAAGCTTGCTTTAAGCTCAGAAGAAGAGCTAAGGTTCAAAAATTGTGCAGGAAGATACCACACTCAGGACTCAAGGCCTAATTTAGCATTGTAGTAAGGCACGGAGTCACTGAAATTGTTCACAGTTGGGTCACTTGCTTTGTAGACCCAATGTCAAAGATCTGCACAAAAACATTTTATCCACCAGTAACCACCACCATGTCAATTTTGCTGCTATGATTTCACACATTTTCATCAAGACATTAATATTAAAAACTGAATAAAATTCAACAGAATTACCAGATAAGGTGAAACACCAAAGAGAGTACCAAGCATTTCCATTATTCTGTGGAAACCTATGCACTACAATTGACCATGGAAGAGAATTATCTGTGTTTAACAGCTGCCAAAGAACATGAAGTAAAACATTATGAAGGCAGCAAATGTAGTTCTACAGCTTATTCAGCAATGTGTTCCCAGAAAAAGCATGAAGTTTAAATTTTTTTGTATGAAAATAACCTACATAACACCATTTAAGACACGGCAAACCATTTCCCAACATAGGACAAGGAAGCTTAACAGAAACACATGTAGAAAAGACTTTGAAGAAAACATACAGAAAAGCTTAAGGTAAACAAGGTCACCAAAATAGCTTGGCACATTTAACCTGCCAAAAAAAGGTCAAGAGGGAAGATTTATCTCTAAATACATAGAAAAAATGTTAACAAGAGTAAGCAGTTATTTTAGTCAAATGGCAGCTTTGAAGTCAGAAAGGATTGAAGGGGGTTTCCAGTTATCAGTCAACTGGAAGTGCAGGGCCAAAACCTAACCACTGGAAACGCTGGCTCTGCATAATTTGCAAGTGGCATCTAAAGAGATCACAGATTAAATAAAACAATGTTCCCTCTGCCTCCACCAAAAATGAAACTGAGAAGAAACTTTTTTCAATCAAGCCCCATTTTCTCCTTTTTGTGCTTCAAGCAATATTCCCTCTCTGTGGACTGAAGCCCTGAAACACCTGCTGCAGCCAGAGTTGAAGTAACCCAAGCTCACAAACCCAAACCATGAGATCTGCTCATCATCTCTTGTCTCCTTACAGCAAATCCACCCCCACAGGAGGCTAAGACAGAACGCTCCTTTCCCTCCCCAGTATCACCTAAGTCTAAAGCCTTTAGGAAGCTCAGAAGAGATGGATGTCTAATTCCTGTTCCAGCAGGGAAACATCTTTGTCTCCAAGGACAAGGGAGGTACAGCTGGTTGCTACTGATGGTATTGTGTGGCCAATTGGAATGACTACAATTCCTTTATCTTTTAATATAGGGAATAACCTTAAATTTGACTCAGTTCTTACACTAAGAAGGAGACAAAACTTAACCAAGGTATGCTATTTTTAACAGCATACACAAACTCCATAAACGAATCCAATTTTATATAGTTACACCTCTGAATTTAATGCAAATTCATCAGAAGTTCACCATTTAAAAGCATTAAAAAAATACCTATTTGCAAAACATCATGTACCATGCAGACACAGCTCTGATTCCTCAATTACACCACCTGAGTTAACAAAGAAAACTGGAAAAGCTTTGGGATTGTTTTAAACAAATGAAACTTATGCAACCCACAAGATTTATTCTAAATACAATTAAATTGTATTTTCAACAGAAGGCTTATCAGATCTTAAATCTGATCTTAAACCTTGTTAAACACTGAAGTACTATCCTCAGTTACTTTTCACTGTCTCTCAATATGAAGCTCTGTTGACATCAAAATTTGTTCTGGAGATCACAGAAGTCAGCTGCTGGTAAGCTTATAAAATTGGCCAAACACATATGCAACTTATTTTACAATTACTAAAACCACATGCATTTCATCATAATAATGCCCCTATTTACCAGTGCCACTTTCACACAGCAATTCGTGACAAAATTTAATTATGTGTTCTGCACTCCAGTCATTAAACATTACAAAATGCAGCATCAGACAGAAAAAAAGTGCCAGCACAGAACCTCAGCAGAACCTATGCAACCATCACAAGCCTTAAAAAGTAAGATTTTTCCTGTTGTTTCATCTGTTTTCTGATCTGCCCACTTAGGGAATCTTTGCTGTGAATTAAATAACACAAAACTAGAGTTGGCCTTGATGTCCCCCAATTTGTGGCTAGACTTGAAAGTGTTAATAATAAAAAAACTTTCAGAGTATTCAGTATCTACCATCAAGAAACAGATTCTAATACTAACCACTCTAAGCATTAACATATATGTATGCATATCCGCACATGCCAAATCTCAAAAAAAAAACCAGTACCCCTTTTAAGTGAAAAAATCATTAAAGCTATTACAGCTACTCTGCATCTGAGCATCTCCACTGAGAAAGAGAGAAAGGAAATTGGAGAAGGCCTGAAAAACACCTACAAAAGTTATTTGTAAGTATTCAAAATCCATTAAGAGCTGCAGTGAAAATGAAAGGCAGAATTCCTGACCTGACAGAGCTTACAATCTAATCTAGAAAACAACGTACAAAGTCACAAAAGGCAAAGAAATATCAATAAATGAAGAAGGAAAAGTGACAGAAATGATACCACAAAGAAACAGATTCTTCTGGAAGCAATGACAAAGCATATGGATATCCACAGGGAGGGGATTACAGACACCCAACATGGCTTTATAAAGGAAAAATCATGCCTGGCTGGTCTAACCTTTTACAATGAAGTGAATGTGCAAATGGATAAGGGATGAGCAATTGATGTCACCCACCTGGATTTCTACAAGGCCTTTGACACAGCTACACAATATTGTTGTCTCTAAACTGGAGCAATATGGGTTTCAGAGATGGACTACTCAACTGATAAGAAACCGGCTGGATGGCCATGTCCAAAGGATTGCAGTAAAAAAAAAAAATCAATGTCCAAATGGAGATCAGTAACAACTGGTGTGCTCAGGGGGGAATACTGGGACAGGGATTGTTCATCTTTGTTAATTACACAGATAGGAGGATTGAGAACATCCCTCAGCAAGCCTGTGGGTAACACCAAGCCAAGTGGTGGAATTGATACATTGGAGGGAAGGGCTGCCATCCAGAGGAACCTTATTAGGCTTAAGGATGGGCCCAGGGGAACATCAGGAGGTTTGAATCTCAAGTGCAAGGTCCTGCACCTGGCTCCAGGCAACTCTCAGTATTCATACAGGCTGAGAGATGAAGGGATTGAGAGCAGCCCTGCAGAGGACTGGGGTCACTTTTGGATGAAAAACTGGAGATGAGCTCACAGCCCAGAAAGCCAACCATGACCTGGGCTGCATCAGAGGGAGAGTGGCCAGCAGGGTCAGAAAGGGAATTCTCACCATCTACTCTGCTCTCATGGGACCCCCATCTGGAGTGCTGTGTCCTGCTCCGGAGCAATGGCTTTAAACTGAAAGAGGTGAGGTTTAGATTGGACATATGGAAAAGATTTTTTTACCATGAGGGTGGCAGGACACTGGAACAGGTTGCCCACAGAACTTGTGGACACTCCATCATTGGAGATGTTCAGGGCCATGCTGGATGGGGCTTTGAGCAACTTGTTCTAGTGGAACGTGTCCCTGACCACAGCAAGGGAGCTTAATGGGATGATCTTTATGGGTTCATTCCAGTCCAAAGTATGCTATAATGCTACAGGAAAATGTCATACTAACTGGCTTATAAATGTTGAGAACCCTATTATGTTCTAATTTGAATTTTATCCCTCAAAATTCCCTTTTGAAAATTCAGGGAAGGTAAGCATTAGACACAAAAAAGGTGACAACACATCTGTTAGAATATCCACAAACAGATAAGACTGTTATAGCTGGAAAATAAGTGATAGAAGTGAGAGATGGAGGAGGGCAAAGGGCCTGCACTTTAACATACTAAAAAGAATATCAAAATAATGAAGCAAAATTCTGATAGAAGCTACAAGGTTAACATTTGCAATAAAGATTTGCCACAGGAGGGAAATGACTGAATGAATGAACAGATTTTGATCACTGGGTTCACAAGAAAACAGAACACGTAAACACTACATTGGCAAGGCTAGTCTGGCATGACATTATCCAGCTTGAGTGTCCTTTCCAGAGCAGAGACAGAACTTATTGGTCATTACACCAAGTGCCTATTTTTGTCTTGACTAATTTTGTTCTGAACTGTAAATTCTTTATAACTCATTTTGAGACAAGACTAACATTTCTGTTCAGTTTTGTAATAGGAAAGCTGAAAAGTATCAGACTTTGCTTTGGGTGTAAAGACCTTCAGTTATTACCACTGAATTCCTGCTGTAGTTTTGCTAGATTTCATCTGCTTAAGTAGTTTAAAGCTTTGTTCCGTTTCCCTTGGTTTTCATAGCGTTTCAGAACTGACTAAGAGCTCCTTTTCATAGGAACAGAGAAGCTTAAAATTCACATAAACATAGACAAAACAATATACAAGCCTAATTCAGACTGTCTTACTCTGGTAAAGGAATGATTTTTCTAGCCTAACAATAACCAAATGCAAGCAACTTTAGAAACTAAAAAAAATACTCTGTATTAAAGTAAACAACACCCACACAGGAGCCACACTCTGTATTTGCTAACATTACATGCCAATTTGAAGTCTTCCAACATTTAAAATGGTTTGCAGCTTTTAAAGCTTTAGCTGGACGTAGGAACTAAAATCTAAAATGGCATATCATTATTGCTGCAGACACCTTCTGGACAGGATTCCTTGCAGAGGATTTCGTGACTTCTGGAAAGCCAGGAGAATATCAGCAGCTACACAAATAACACCAACCGAAGTCCCTTCATGACCACCTTACTCTTGGGGTATGAATCAATTTCTGTACAATTTGAGATGCCGACAAGCCAGAAATAGAGAGGGTCCCTATATCTCTACTTACCACTTGACAGTTATTTCCTTACTATGGGCTCACAGGCAGAAGCTAAGCATCCTTAGCAGATGCTGAAAATTCCAACATCTGCTAAGGAATATATCCCTATTTCTTCTTATATTTGAAGGATGCTAATTATTTTTGCAGACCTCTGCATTCCAAATATATTCTACCCAAGTACTGAGAAATCAAGATCACTGTTTCCACCATAGTTCAATATACTTTACACCATCTCATTTTAACTTCTAGTAATGTTATAATGCAGCTGGGGTATTACTTAAATACATACTGCATATCTTAGTTCATCAGTATTCTAACATTTGACTACTCTAAGTCAGTATTTCCCCAATGGACAGCCCAGTACTACAGATCTAATTTTAATCCACAATGAGTTTTCAGGATTATGAAATGGAGAAATAATTTCATGCCAAGGCTGAATATTTTGCACAAAACCAGATTTGCAGAAATACACGCAACATACAGAACAAACAACTATATACTCATACACCTGCTGATAACCCACAACTCCAACAAATTTCCTTACATTTATGGCTAGTGCACACAGCTGGTACTGTTCTAAGGTGATGATTTCGTGGTAACAAGGTTCTTGTGCCAGCTTCACAATAGCATTCCCAGCAGCCAGCCTCAAGCGAGACATGTCAGGTTTACTGAAAAACAAGCACACAGATTGTGAAAGTTAATTAGTAAAAAAAAATATGTAATTATTTGACTTAGCTAAATCTAATAAGTTTGCATCACTGAAAAACAAGTACTTCAAAGGAAAAAAGTTTCTGTGAACTTAGCCACCCCTATGCTAGCAGAAGCAATTTCAAACTCAAAGTAATTTTCATGGCAGCAGATTTTACAGCCTATTCCCACTTACCATTACCTGGTCCCAACCTGGCAATAAAAATTTTCCATCAAACTTCCTAAAAGTTACACACAGATGTGAAACAATTCTAGCTTTGCATCCATACTGGCCCTCAGAGACCACAGCTAGCAGTAAGATACTTCTGTTCAGCTTGCTGGTCCCCCTTCAGCAGGTGAGTCCTGCCAAAGAAGGAGCCAACCGATTTCTGGTTCCCAGAGTTACCAAACTTTCCTAGCTCAAAATCCATGCTTCAGGCAAACATCAATTAAGATTAATTAGACACTGTAATACATGACCAAGCGAATTCTATTTTAAGACAATAGCAAAATGTCTTTTGAATGCAACCACTGAAAATATTGTATATCAGATGTGTGGCAAATTTTCTACAGCACAGAACTATGACATTCTAAGCTCCAAAAGGTTTTAATAATTTTTCTCTTGGTAAGCATTAGTTTAAGAAAAAATGCAGATGGTGTTTCAGGAAAATCTCAATTCAAGCTCATATCTAATATCAGTATTTTCAGCAACTGTTAGCATCCTCTGATACTGAAATAGTCTTATTTTATGCTTAGTATAGACTAAAATCAAAATCCTACTACAAAAACATGCAAGATTAAACCTAGCTGTTCTATCTAACCACAAACAGAAAATTTGTATAATCTTGAGTTCTGCAGGACTGTTTATGACTTATAAAATTAAAAAGAAAGACTTAAAAAGGACAGTTGAGATACTATCAATAAAATTCAATATTAAAAAAATACAAGACTGGTGAATTTAACATGATAACATCTCAAAGAAGTCAGTTGTTGATTTAAAAGCAATTCAAGAAAGTCATCAATCCTACTACTTCAAAGTGTAAAGGATGAACAAGAGAAGGGATTTGCTGTCCAAATGGGACCTTGCCTTCACCTGACACTCCAGGCTGAACAGGGCTTTGAAGTAAAAAAAAACCAAAAAATCCCCTTACAGTGTCCCTGAGGGGTAGAGTTCAAGAGGCATAGGGGCAGAGTCACTTTTAGGGCTGATGTAGGCAATAACACCAAGAAGATTACAACATGACTGATGGCCTCAACAGCATCAAAGGCTCCTGAGCCCTGCCACTTTCACTTAATTCACTTATGTTTAGCAAATTATTAAACACTGTTTAAAAGACAAGTGCAAGCCATGAACACTAAAATTGACTCACACAGAATGACCTCATATCAAGTACAGCCTAAGAAGTTATGTTCTGTACTGAATGGACAGTTTTACTCTCTTCAAAGCCTACTCCAAGTCAGAGGGAGCAGTATCAGGTTTGCACAGAAGGGACACAGTAAGCACTGCCAGAAAGAAGATATCCTTATTGCACTCAATGGGTGAAGAACAAAGGTCAGGAAGTGTCAGCAAGTTCCATGCAGAACTAACAGGCCTTAAACATCATCTCCTCTGCTTCAGGTTTTGAGAGTGATTGTTAATGTATGCAGTATAGCTCACACAGAGACAATGGACTGGCCCTTCTACCAATTTGGAGCTTTCTTGAAAAGCAATACTGAGAATCACAAATAATTATTACGTGCCGGTACAGGGCTCTTGCCTCATGCAGCAGTGGGTGCGCATTTTCCCTAGTCTTCATTTTGTCACTTATTTACTTAGAGAAGCTCTTCTGGTTGCCTTTGTCATTTCTCACTAGATTTTATCCCAGTTGGGATTTGGCTTTCCTGTCTGTATCTCAGATGGTGCTCCCTGTACTCCTGCCAGATTACCCATCTCTACTTCCTCCCTCTGTTTACCTCATACCATAGAATAGCTGGGGCCAGAAGGGATTGTTAAAGCTTATTTAGTCCAACCCCCTGCAATGAGCAGCACTTGGAGGCCTGTTCAACATGACCTTGAATGTTTCTAGGCATGGGGCAGCTATTACCTCCCTGAGCATCCTGTTTCAGTGTTTCATCACCCTCACCACAAAAAAAAAAAAAAAAATTCTTCTATCTCCAGGCTCCTTTAAGTACTGAGAGGTCACAATAAGACCCTTCCTATTGTGGTCACCCCAGACCCTTCTCTCCTCCAGGCTAAACAACTCCAAATCACTCAGCCTTTCCTCATAAAAGTACTCCAGCCCTCTGATTGTTTTTGAGACCCTTCTCTGAACATGCCCCAGCAGGTCCATGTGTTTCCTGTGCTGAGAGCCCCAGAGCTGGATGCAGCACTTTGTGCAGGGTCTCACCCTCTGAGTGAGCTAAAGAGGCAGAATCACATCCCTTGACCTGCAAGCCACGCTTCTTTTGATGCAGCCCAGGACACAGCTGGCTTTCTGGGATGTAAGCACACATTGTTGGCTCATGTTCACCCTTTCATCCACCAGTGTCCCCAAGTACTACTCTGCAGGGCTGCTCTCAATCCCTTTTTTTGTGTTTGAATTTTGCCAGCAGCACCTTGCTCATCCAGGTACAGTTTGCTGAAGTATCCATCTGCTTTTCTGCTGTGACCACTCTTGAGTACTGAGGGGGGATTTTTAAGTACTAGGTAATTATCTTTCTTGGGCCCCTCTTCCCTTCAGGCCTTACCCAATGGGACCCTTCAAGCACATTCTTGTAGAGATCCAAGACTGTTCTCGTAAATCCAGTCCAATCTTGCCTTCTGGCCTCCTCCTTGCCCTCAGGATTTTGAACTTCACCATCTTAGGGTCATTATAGCCAAGGCTATCTTCAATCTTCACATCCCCAGCAAGTCCCTCCTTGTTGGCCTATAAGAGGTCCAGCAGAGAGCCTCTCCTCATTAGGTCCTCTACTTCCTCACAACCATTGTTGTGTCAAAAAGTTGTCATGAATGCTGCCCTGGATTGTTATGCACTGTTGTGTTGCCCTTGCAGTAGATATCAGAGAGGCTGAATTTCCCCACAAGGGCCAAAGACTGCACACATTAGGTTGTTCTCAGCTGTTTAAAGGCCTCATCCACTTCTTCCTGGTCAGGGGTCCCACAGCAGACACTCACCACGATGTTACCCAGAGCAAACTGCTCCTCAGTCTTAGCCCATAAGCTCTCCATTGGCTCAACATCCATCCCCAGGCAGAGCTCCAAGCTCTGCGGTTGAAGGGTTACCTCACATGTCACTGCCCTACTTTGAAAGGGTCCCTCCCTAGCCCTCTTAACTTGATTTAGAAATGGAAAACTGATCACATCATTATATGAAGTTTCTACTTCATATAATTACTTTTTGAGTAGAAAAGGAGTGGGAAAATTAAATTTCTGAAACATGCACAGTAAGGAATCATCACTCCAAGCATGAAAACACACAGGGTCTACAGAACTAATTTATTCTCTACTGCATAAGCCAACCATGAGCTCCAAGTACTCATGCTGAAAAGCTAAATTACTGCCACTCAACTCCCTGGCAGCTGCCATGAATGGTCACATTACAGAACTATAAAACAATTGTTTACAAAGAACTTTAGGACAGATTACACAGTTGCTACAAGTATAATATACTAGACAGCTCTCAAGTTTGCAATTTTGCACACACAATATGGTTCTATCTGCATAACTACTGTATAACATTAACTCTACCTGAAAATCAGAACCTTCTTAGACATACTGGAACAATCTACCCATGCCCTTAACTGCTTTTGTAGACATCAATTTTCAATGTTAGCAAGCAATAGCAGCTGACAACTTGTCACTTTTCCTACTACAGAGGATTAAGAAGATACCCAGAAAAACAAGTTGTCTAACAGTCACCTAAAAGGTAAATTATTTATTGAGATTTACACATTTCCTTCTTGCTTTCACTTTTAGAGACCTCAAGATAGATTAGCCTGCCTCCAAGCAGATGTGTCTTGTGTATTAAGTATTTCCACCTGGTTTATACAACACACTATTATTCTTTATTAGAAAGCCCACCTATTGGCATTTGGCATACACAGCAATTGGTACACCAGGAATAGCAAGCTGCATAAAAAATTAAAACCAATTTTCAGTGGGAAGGAGGAAGTTGCACAGTTTATTCCTGCAATATGAGTAACAGCCTATTGAAGGAATAAATAAAAGCAAGAATATAAAACCTGAAATGCAGCTGTGTGTACAGCACTACAAAACCTGAGACTCAGCAAACTTAAAGAACCAGCCAAGCTTACTATCACATCTTATGAAATAAAATGTATAAATTTTTAAGCAGTCCAGCAGAGTAGTTTACACACTACTTCAATTAAAACTCTCCCCTCACTCCATCAGCACAGATATGAAAGCATTACCATCTGGTACATACCTTATTTTCCCCTGCTCTGTTAAGTCTCCATCACTGTGTAATATTGTTGTTAGCAGTCTCAGAGTAGAAGTACCTGACTTGCTGTGGTTGTTCTTCATTCCTAGCAACCATCGAACCATCATCTTGATGGCCTGAATCTGAAAAAAAAAATTGATACCAAAAAGTCAAATCATATTATAAGCCTCATTTTTAAAATAATCTTTATCTTAATTTAATCATATGGCATTTTTTCCCAAGTGCTTTTTGCTGGTACAAACATAAGTCTATCAGGACTGCAAAACATCATTTAAATATTGAAAGATAACCAGACACTCTCACTAGACAGCAACTTTTCATTGAAAGCCTCTAATATGTATTACAGCAAATAAAAATTATACATTTGGTTAAAGTTTGAGCTGCTTCTTCTATAAGCAATCACATATTTTGTCCTTTGAAAACATTTTCTTAATTGAGCTTATTAAATACTGTGAAATAGGCTAAACAGTTTATACTTACTAAGAAAATGTTACTGGATCAAAAAGCAGAACACATTTTCATCTTTACATATTCCTAGAATTCACAGAATATTCTGCATTGGAAAGGACCCACAAGGATCAGCAAGTCCAGTGAATGACCCATATGGTGACTGAACCCATGACCTTGCCGTTAAATTCCTGTGCCCTATATATTCTCTATTTATCTATGTCATATCTGAGTTTAAATTTAAGACTTGTACTTGAAAAAACACTTCATAGACATCTTGACTGCTAGCAATCTGTACTACAATAACTTACCCTGGTAAAGAATGCTTTTTTCACAGCTATTTAAAGAAAAGCTTCAAAGGCGGGGAGGGATAACTTGGTTTTGCCAATGGAAACATCAAGTGTTTTGAGGCACCATATGCAGAATCCAGCAACTATCATGAAACACTGAATAATTTCACATTTCTTTAGTGAAAATAAAGCATCAATTTGGAGATTAAGTTTGTTTCAGTATTTGAATCCCTTTATCCTTTCATTTTCCTTGCTTATGACAGCAGAGACAATAAAGAAAACAAAGAAGAGTATCTTCTTACAGGAAAATGAAAATGCTCATCTAAATCACATTGATATCCTTTGGGAAAAAAAAAGGAAACCAAAAAAAACCCAAAAGAACCAAAACCAGAACAAAATATGAACTCTGAAGATCAAAACCCAAAAGCTTTAGAAAACTTACACTTTTCGTACATGGTAACTTCAAATATTCTCATTAGTGGGAAAAGCAACTCTAGTAACTTTTATATAAACATTCACAATATGAACAAATTAAATTTATCATAGCATAATTGATCTACTCCTTGCAACAAACTGAACCAAAATGGTCCCATCAGATCTCAGGACTACTACTTCTATGTGAGTTTAGTTTTTAGGACTACTAACCCTAAATTTAGTAATCCACTTGCCCCACCTTACTGGGTAACACCAGTGAGCTGTAGGATGTCTGTCACTCCAGAACTCAAAATGCAAATGCAGTCTGAGGAGCAGAATTTGTCTTGCCCTCACTTTCAAAGGGTCTTCCACTAGAACAGCTCTAAGTAACCACCAGAAGATTTTAGTAGCATCAAACCAAATATAATAATTGTAACATAACAATAATGGCATCATATATTTTCACAGCTCACAAATTCAGTTTCTTCACGTCATAACCAGGACCTGCAACTGTTAGTGCTTCCCATTTGTTGGGAGGATGGAAATATGACAGTTCTCCTTGGTCTTCAAATAAATGACACATTTGGCCAGAGAACAGACACAGCTACCTTGTCCCTTGACCAATTTCAATTTCAATCTTTGCTCCTAGTAATTCCCTCCATAATGTTTTTTCCCCAGCTTTATTATCCAAACCTATTCTAGTTTTCCTTCCATGTAGTGAAGTCCTAGTACCACCTCCTTCACAATTTTTGTCTGACCCCACTAGTTTCCCTACTACTTTGCTAGTGTTAATGATGGTATGGTGACATTCCACCAACCATGGAGAATTAAGCATTCCCATGGAATCAGTACAGGGCATGAAAATTCCCCCAGTCACTACTACTGATTACCCAAAGACTAAGTTGGACATGATGTGAGTGTGGACTGCTGTCATGTTTTAAATTCTCCCTTTGCAACCAAATTGTGTAGTTATTGAAGGATAATTCCAGTTGAAAAGAGTGTTTGGTCTCCAGTTCAATCCCCTGCTCAGAGGAAGGTCAGCTATGAAATCACCCCACACTGTCTCAGTTTTAGGCAGTGTGGTGTCAAAAGCCCTCCAAGAATGAAGACTGCACAGGTCTCTTGGCAACTTGCAACCTCTTGCTACTTGTTGCACTGTCTGACTGTTCTCAGGCCTTTCCTTATATTCAGACTGAAGTTCTTATTTCACTTTGTGTTCCATGAGCCTAGAATTCTCCTCTGAGATGAAAAATTATTTTTACACAACATGAAAAGATAAGAAAGTGAAAATGAGACAGAGCCATATGAAACATAACACTGTCTTCCTACTACATCACCATTATGGCAGCAGCTGGATAAAACTTTAAAACTGTTTTTTAAAATTAATAACTTTATATTCCAGTGATATGGAAGGAAACAAGAAATGTCACTGCTAGTCACAAGTCACCTGCATGGTGCACAGTACTCATTACAGGTCACTGCCAAGAGAGACAAAATGCTTTAGAACTCAAGTGTCCAGCGTAGGAATTCCAGTCTAACTCATACAATCATTAATCCAATTCATAGTTAATAGTGTACTGAAACATTTCTCTGCAGAGAGCCTTCCACAGAAGGTTTAGCACCCAAAACTAAGGTTATCCTTGGTCAGTCTACATCTGCTGGCTGGACAATACTAAAATTTAGTTTTCAGCACTCCTTGCCACTTTCATACTCTAACTTGCTAGTTTGAAAATCCTCACTAGATATATAATAATGTTATAATAGGAAAAAGAGGCTTGAAAAACCAGAGGGAAGAAAAGTCCATGATCAGAGAGAAATCATTCATAAACTAATGGCATTGTCTGGAGCACACATTAAGTTTAAGCTCTGCAGTAGTAATAAAGGTTAATTAAATTTGCAAATCAATTTTCACAATAGCCTGTTTTCACAGCAAATAAATTCTTCTTACAGTTTTCAGGCTTGGCTTCAACCGTAAATTGCCTTAAGAATTTCTGCAGGTTAATTCCTTTCCAAATAGACAGATGTATGAGAAGTTCAATCAATATAAAAGTACATTTTAGAGAGTTATTGCAGCTTCACAAATCATTTATAATAATTAAGAAAAACAATTAATACTTACTACTTCAAGTTACATGTATAATCACTCAAGTGAAATCATGTCTATTTAAAATTAGCACTTCATTAATTTAAAACAAAGGTGCATTCTTTTTAAACCATTTTTGGAGTATACTGTGTAACTATGGAGTTGCACAAACATGAAAACTATCCTTTGTGGAGTCAAAAAACTAAAAGCAACAAATCAAATTCAAAAAAAGCCAAGCCTTTTCAGTAATATGTTCTGTACCGAACTGCAAACCAAAGTACTTATTAACCTAGCAGAAAAGAAGGTCGGCTAGGAAGTGTTTAACAATTTTGAGAGAAGGCAAAGAACTTTTTAAAACCAGAGCCACTCTACTCAGAAGATATTAGAAACTAAACAACTGATATAACATAGAGCATAATATAAAAGACAAGCATTCATTCTGAAAGAAGTGAAAGCAAAAATCTATCCCTGCTCTGAGGGGCATTTAAAAACCAAATACAGATATAAAATATATTTTCCACATCGTGAGTCTATTTCTAATTCATTGAAAAATTGATTGACAGTATCTCTTACAGAGTACAGAAAATGTAATACACTTTCTCCAAAATAGAAAAAGCTTGAGACGACATTTTTAAGTAAAGTACCAAAACAAACCCCCCACTATTTTCAAGTGATGTTTTTTTCTTAAATCCAGGTTTTTCTCTAATACACATTGCAAACACAGAAAAATAAACACTCTAACCGATTTATTCATTTGAAGAAACTGACAAATCCAAACCCCATTTTTCTTCTTACAAAACAGCACTGAAAGTTTCTTGGAATGGCATAAAAATTCAACAGAAAAAGAAAAGACTTTTAACAAAATTTCTATAGTATTTAACTCCTGTATTGAAGAGGAGAGGAAAAAATAATTTTACTTTAAGTAATCCAGCTATCATCACAGTCAAGTGTCAGAAAACAAAACTACACCTATAAAGAGTTTATATAAAAGCTTAATCAAGTGTGTACATAAATTTATGCATAAAATAATAATTTAAAAATATGCTCCCAAGAGCAAATCCTTATTAAGTATTACAAACATAAGAGACAGGAAACATAGTACATGCTACTCACTTTTACAAGGGTTTCAGGAGACACTTCTTCATCTGGGACCCAAAGTTTTGTTGTCTTTTTTCCTGGAAGCTAAACAAAATGTTACATTTGTTACAGTACAGTTACTCTTCAGTGAAACTTGTAACCTTCTCTTTCTGTTTGCTTGAAACAGTACAGCAGCACTCCCTGGTCAGCTGTATGCCTACTGTATCTTACACAAGTAACCACTACAGAAGTGAGATACCTCACTATCCAAGTATCAGCAAATTCAAGATTAATAAAGGCACTGGTTGTTGTTGTTACCTGAAAACTATTCCTTTAGGGCATAATAGCCATTGCTTTGAAAATAAGTTTTTCCATATCCGGTAGATTGGAACCTCACACACATTTTACTGTTTTAGAATCTGTATCTTTCCCTACGAAATTTCAAGCAATGCACGAGTTCATTTTTCGACTTCATAATCACTTTAGAATCAACACAAAATTGTTCAAAAAATTGAAATTCAGTCCTCCATTTAAATAGTGTATTTTAATTTCAAATGTAATATACTTCCTAAAAATCACAACTCACTCAAGATAAGAAACAGAATGAAATCATAACAATTTTCCCTTTTTTAATGAAGGCCAAATCACAAATGATGAAATACAGTGCTATGCAGGTCATGACTTTTGTAAGATTCCCAAATCAGTAGAACTCTCCTTTCCTGTACCATGTGTTTTGAAAAGAGTCAAACTACATGAGTAAATCAAAAGACAACTATATACAAAAAGCAGAACCAGCATGCCAGATATCTTCCCAAGAACTTGCTGAGTATGATACTGCAGAAAAAGCATACTCTTAATATAAGGTTTTAAAAATACTCACCCTATCATTCATTAGCAAATCTTTAACAATAAAAGTAGCAACCAAAGATTTCAAAGGGGCAGCAAATTGGTCAGGTGCAAGCATGGCTATATGGCCAATAGTAACCAATGGCGTAATGAGGTGCTCAAAATTGCTTGGATCCAGACTTTTATGCAGTGGCTAAAAAAAAAAAAAATACAACAAATTCAACTATTTCTGATATAATCTGTGTCTTACTGAAGGGATGGGAATGACTTGTCCTTATCTATTTCAGAAATACAATTTCAAAAGAACTATTGATTATTTAATTTTAAAGATACATTCACTAGCCCATCAAATCTTTCTCAAGTCAGAGGAAAGGTCAAGATGACAGACAAAATATTTATCACCTCTGGATAGTTCCAAAAGTGACAGCTCAAGCATGACCATTTAGGAAACAATGGATTAAAAAGCCTACTTTCTTGTGGGAGAACAAGTTCTCAAGCTAGCAATTCCAGTAATGGACTATGATTCAGCCTTCAAGATAAGAGGCTGAGGGCCACTAATTAAAAAGCACATTTGCAGTTACAGCTAAAAAATTCACTTAGTCTGTACCACAATTCAGTTTTCCTAAATTTCTGCAACCATTTAAATACATTTGACCATTTTCAACAGGGGTAAGGAGTAGCATATGGTTCCTCTTTGTATGAATAGTTCATGGTTCTAGTACACAGCCTAACACTTGGTTTTACTCTACCAGCTCTTAAAATACACAACCTAAAACATGATGAATCACGAGATACAAGAACAGCCTCTACTATCATTCTTCAGGCCAAAATCATGTAAGAACAAAAGGTATGGGGAAAAACATATTTCCTAAATCTGCTACAACTTGCAACTACATCCCTTAGTTTACATACGCAATATAAAAGATCAGTAAAAGTAACTCAAGTATTTAATATTACCTCAAATATCTGTGCAAACTGCGTTTCTTTGCTGGAAAATATTGCATGGATGCAGTGAATAGCATACTTAGCTTGACGAGGGGGTCCCTTCTTAGCTTTATGGTGCAACACTGGAAGCAAAGCACTAAACAGTTGTGTAACAAAACAAATAGACAAACAGACCGAGAGATAAGTAATTTCACAAATTGAAAATTTTCCAAAACATCAAACTAACAAAGAAGTACAGATATACATATAAAAATCACAACACTTCTGCAAAAGCATTAATTGCTTTTGTTTGGGTAATTTCTTCAAAAACAAGAAGAAAAAAATTATTTACATAACTTGCAAGCAAAAAAATCCTAGTTTTTTTTGATAAAATAGTATGTGCTAAAATAGGCATTGATATCTGCACAGGTACTAAATGTTCTTTTGGAAATATTTTGGCCTACATATTGCCATTAAATTGCAAGGAATGTTCTTACACTGCATATATATATATGTATATATATATAATCTTAGGAAAGAATAAGTAATTCTGAAGGGCAACAATATTAATTATAGCAGTATCAGTGACATACTACCTGTCACTACTTTGGGTATATTCATTTCCCTTCCATTCTTCAAAAAGGACTACAATTTAGTTTTTCAAAATCTCTTTTTGGAAATAATACTTTCTTCCAAAAGAATGCAGGATAACGCTACAGCAAATTAAAGGCAGAGTGAGAACTTCCAAAGCCCTATACAGTAAAGGTCACTGCTCAGAGTAAGATAAACAACTTACGATCGTATGTGAGGAAAGTCTTCTTCAATTTTACTTCCTGTATTTTTGAAAATTTGTAATGCAGCTTCTGCCACTTTTTCATCATCCATTTTCAAGCAAGCAAGGAGAGATTCAAAAGTTTCAGCTGAATGAAATGAGATAGGGTGCGTAAACGAAAGTACCTGCCAAAACATGATGAAAGCCATGTTAACATTTTTTAAAGGTCCACTTATACTAGGACACTTCATCAAGAGTCATTTTCCACTGCCATATTGGAACATTTATAATACTCTCCCTGGTTATGATTCATGATCCACATTGCTCTTCTTTTTTTTAGTAGCTCCTAAAGTTCTGTCTTTATACATGACTTCATTAGATTTAATTTATTTCCCCAGTCTCAGTTTCTTCTCCTACTATTCTGACCATGTACTTCTCAGTGACTACACCTACTTTAACAAGTACTGGGTTACAGCAGGAGCAGGTCTTAGGAGAAACCCAAGTGATGCTAAGGAAGCAATATTCATATTCCAGGAGTTTTACTTCAGAGTATTTTTAGAATGACTAAATCCACTTTAGGCAATGCAACACAACATGTGCTTCTGAAGCCCATCTCAATTTTGTTCCTCTGAAAGGAATCCAGCTTGTGTGCCTCCAGACTTCATGTTTGTTTCCTCAGGGGAGGAATTGATTCTGCTCTGAAGTGAAATTCCTATCTCTAAAATAGCAACACAGACATACTCAATAGGGCCTCTAGTCCCCCAGGTTTTTCATATTAACTTAACCGATTCTGTACCTCTCCTTCAGATTCTTGGACTTGGCTGTTTTCAGGTATGACAGTCCTCCCATGTTAAAAAAAATTAAATAAAGAAACCCTTAATTGATCCTCCTTGAAATGTGGTCTTCTCTTCATTTTTAAGTGGCTGTTGATTATTAGCCTTGTTCCACATAATATTCTGACTCATGGCAGAGAAACAATCCTCAAAATCTACAAAGTTCTTCATATGCCGTCTCCTATTTTAACTAAGTTACCTTCCTTACCACTTCATTGTATGGCATTCCCAGTGCTGGACTTCTACATTTGTTCTCCCTGTATTATTCTGATGATGTATAGACCTCTTTGTTTCGGGCAGTCTTACTCCTCTTCCTTAAATGTGTCATGCCAGTTCATACAAATATGTAAATACTGACTTGGAAGCCTTCATTCAAGCATATATTCTTTCACAAAATGATTCATTCTTTCTTACTCAGATGCATTCTTGTGCTACTGGGTATCTGCACTTTTATCTAAAAGTTCACACCTGGATAAAGAGATTCATCCTTTCAGGTGAATCTACTCAGTCCTTAGTTCACCTAAAATACTCTGAAAACTTCAGTATAGGAGTCCTTTAGATATTAAGGCCTCTGAAGTCAACTCCCACCTGGACTACTTGACAGCCTCTGCTATGTTAGCCCAGTTTCAAGATTACTCATAGTTGAAATAGGTAAGACCCCAACTTAGGTGGAACACAGAGGAACCACAGTGCTGCACTGATGTACAACAGCACCATGTCTACAAATTGCTGAATTCATGCTCTAATAACCAAAACTGCACTGCTACTGTCTCACACGCAACTACGTCTGGCTTACAGAAAAGTTTCTAAATCATTTTTAAAATAGCCTTACTGATGTGCCAAGATGAGCATGAAGCACAAAAACCCAAACCAGTTTCTTCCAGGTAGGCACCACACGCTTTTGACTAAAAGCAGTAAGTGCTAATTAAAAATTTATTTTAACAAAGTTTTTTGCAAAGTTTCCCATACTCACTGGCCATCAGGACTATACTTGCCTTCAGCAATTCAAGACCTGCTCTGATTGCCTGGTCAGTAGGTACACCCTCATCTTCATCATCAGCTGTTCCATCTATAGACTTGTTCACTTGTTTGATAAGGGCACTGAAGAGGAAAACAAAATATGATCTTGTAGTTACTGCAATTCCACCATGTATGATTACATCTTAAACTTGTGAAAACAATCTTATTAAATCAACTTATTTAAAACATAAGCCTACTATAAAACAAATATGTCAACTACATACATAATCTGGTTGCCCTCATCTCCTATCCAAATCAAAGCATTCTGAAGCATTACACTAAAAAATATTTATCCATCATGAATTAAGAACTATATACAAATTATTCTGGAAGGATGACCAAAATAAGAAAACAATTTGAACATTACAAGCAACAAACTCAATAAGAACTATGCTGAGGTTACAACCCACTACAGATTCTTAATAATTGATGGAGAATAACTGTTTATAATAGTTAGTCTCTAACCAAGAGGAAAAATAATAACCATTTAACAATTCTGCTAAGAGCTGATGACAAATTTATAAGACCTATCTTCTGCATATTTTTCTTGACAGTAAGGCTTATGTCAAATACTGCTGTTAGTTAAATAATCATTTCAGCAAAAATAATTTCAGCAATCCTCCCCACCATAACTTCATTGGCTCACTCTTCCTTGAAGTCTTGCTGCCTCATCATCATAACCTTTACTTCCTCAGTTACATTACTATTTATGTCACTATGAGCTAATATTCTGGGTGGAAAGTTTCAGCTGAATAGTCTGGACAGAAATTTGTTTTAAAACAAATCAGCTGGTCACAAACCATATTTCGTCTGTCAGCAACACATCCACTTTTACTGACAGGTCATCCCAGCTATGCTGAATGACAATGCAATTGTTTCTGTGACTACATTCTGGACAAGGACAGAAAAACCCCTACACAAAGTGAAACAGAAGAAAATAATGCAGGTCACCAAGCCTTAAGCCACATCCACCCAACCTATTACTGCTTGTGTTTAAAGACAAAGTAAGAAACCTCAGTTTCAAACTCTGTGATCTATGGCCAACAACACACACAAAAAAATACCTGATGGATTCAGTATCAATGTGCACAGGAGCAATTCTCTCAAGAAGAAACTTTATCATTTCCAGGAAAGGATTTGTTGGTTGCTTTGGATTGCCCAACTTCTTTGTTATTTCCCTCTGAAATATAAGTTGTGATTAAATTTCTAATCAATTCTATTCCAAAAATATTCACACTTTAAGAGCAATTCTTACCACACATCCTTCAGCCTGTTTGCAAGAACATGTTGGGCTAACAAGCATTTCTAACTGACTTCTTATTTTTTCATCATCTTCTAGAACTTGTGTGAACTTTTTCATGAAATCTTGAGCTTTCCCTGGATCAGGAAGGTTTCCTTTAAATAACAAAAAAATGTTCACTATTTATGCAAATTGCACAAGTTTGGAACATCATACAAACCATACAAAATCCAAACCAAATGAACAAAAAGAAAAACTACAAAAAAAACCCAAACCATAAAACACCTCAAAACAAGCAGACATATCTATGAGGACACAAATTTATACAAATTTCCTTTGGCTAATTGTTTTCCCTACCCTTCACACTTTTTTTTCAGCAGGTCTAGTTGCTCTTGCTAATGATATTACTAACAGCTGAAACTGACCTCATACTGTAAAGCCTGAACTCCACAAGAAAATGTACTCTGTATACAGATCACCCAATGCAACAAGTGTGAAAAACATCAAAAAGGGTATTTTTGCTAAATTGCCTTTTAAGTAAACATAAGCTTTACAACAAACATTCAAAAACAAAAAACAGCATTTAAAATGCATTAAGGAAACATAAAATTTACAACAGCTCACAACATCAAAAAAAAAAGGGCATTTAAAATGCATTTCTTCAACTATATCCTCTTTTTATATTTATGTTTATATTATAGCAAGGCAATTTATTGGCAAAGGACTAGTCTACTATTTAAGATGTTTCGTATTTTTTAGTCCAGACAGCGTTAAGCAAAGCTGGTACAGAAGGTGATGTAGCACTACAGGATGGTTGGTTCAAAACAAGCTCTATTATGATTTTGTTTTGCTGTATCGATTTTTTTTAAAAATAAACTGAGAACTAAAAGTATGAGAAAAAATACAAACTAATGAAAAATAGATTAGTATCATGGCCAATGAAGCAGCACAGTTCATTTTTTCTTCTGTATTTTTTCAAAAATGTGCAGTCTTATGTAGTTTGTTTTTTTGCCAGAACTGATGGCATTTTTTTTAAAAGGTGAATTTGAAAACGAATTTTCAGAATTGTAAAACAAGTTTTTGTTCATACTAGTTTTAATGCTATTGGCATGGTGGGCCTGGGGAACAAAAAGTGTTGCTTTTGGGTTGGTGGGTATTTCTTTGTCAATAGTTCAGCTTACACAGAACTTCTTCAGCTTTTGAAGTGCTTTCCTTGCTAGTGAAATTTAAACTCTCTTGCATTCCAATGACATTTACAATATTAAAACCTCTGAAGAGAGGTAAGTTAGTACATAGCTTAGTAGTTTAGTTAACATCTATGAATATATACTCTATAATAAATGTTAAAATAGACATTAACACCCTAGATCATCTAGACCTTGATTAGTCCACAATGCAGCCAAAATGTTATGTGATAGGCTTCATGACTGATGTTTTCTTACAGTAAGAGAGTAATTCTGGTTAGTTGCCTTCGTTCTTAAAAGCATACTGCTGCATCACATTTATCATTATTTGCTTTAGATTTTAATCTGCTGCAAAATGCTTTTTTTATAAACTTACCCCAAATTATTTTTAAAGCAAGAAAGCAATATAGTTCTACTGTAATTTTTAGACACTGTAAATACTTTCAGTGACTTACTTGTTATAACCATCACTTTTGAGAATATAGCTTTACTGCTGGCATCTGTCTGCAAGTCACAAAAGAAAAATGGATTAAGTAAAAATTTTTCATTTTTTTATTTCCATTTGAATATTGAGCAAGGAAGATTCCAGACTGCATTAACAACAAGTCTGCATCCATTCTGCTAACACATCAATGTGTTAGAAATCAAAAACCACCACTGCAAATTCAATGTAGACACAGGAAGTAAAAGGTAGATCATCGCTACAGATCAATTACATAAAATACTTTTATCACTTTTCAATCTACCATATAACTTATGAACAGCATGAACGGGCTATTTCTGCAGGGAGTAGTCTCAGAAGAACACCATCATTTTCAGGGCTCCTAGCTGTCACAGCTGAATTCACATGTTCAGACAAAAAAAATTATAAAGGACAGAAATGAGATATAATTTACAGGATTCAAGTAATGCTATCAGCAGACACAAACTTCCCATATTCAAATCTCTTGTGACTCAGGGGAAAACAAAAACTGTACTGTGGAATTTCTTTCACCCTGACTGTTCTGGTCTCCTAATACTACCCAAGTCTTCAAGTTCTGGCTAAAGCTCCCATCAAAAAACATTGAGCAAACTACTAATAATTCAGCCAAAAGTCAAATAACCTGAGGCAAAAGTATTAACTCTATTGAATTATGACAGATAAAAGAAATTTGAGAAACATTTCCTTTAAGAAAATCTGCTGTCGCACTTGATCATAGTGCTGTGGCACTTCTACATAATTTTGCATTCATCTGCAGCAAATGAAGATTATACTCCAATAGACACAAAACAGCATTCATCCACTTTTCTACATACGAACAGGGAAGGTTATGTATTTTATTTCACTGTACACCACTGCTGAAGGAGAAAACCAGAGGAGTTGTGATTTATGCTTTTGCTCTTCAGAAAAGTAACTTTAAGGTAAGTTTGATGTCCCTTCTCTCTTAAGTCAGGAGAAATTATGACCAACAGCAATAAAAATTTCCTTAACACATTTCCAGCCTCCTCAATAGTGCTTTGCCTGAGAAGGCCTTGAAGAGGAAATAAGGAGGATGCTCACAGAGCTTCAGTAAATGGCAGAAGGGTAGACTGGGAAGACTTACAGTTACAGAATAATGCAGGTTGGCAGTGACAACTTCAGGTCACACAGTTGAACTGCCTACTCAAAGCAGGATCAGGTTTTGCTTCAGGCAAACTTCTAGTTGCATTTTAAATATTTACAAGGATGAAGATTTTGCAGTATCTCTGTGCTATCTGTTCCCCTATTTGATCACCCTTACTGCAATCTTTTTTTTTTTTCTTACTACCTAACCAAAGGTAACACCTGTACGCTATTTCTTTGTGGTAACATCAGTACACTATTTCTTGTCCTATTCTAGTTTATCTCTGAGAGCTATTACATTGCCTACACTTGGCACAGGGATAACAACCACGGGAGAACAAATCAACAACTAAGCTATAATGATTACATGAAGAAATTAGACAGAAGTGAAAAAGCACACAAAAACTCATTTTCTAAAAGGTTACTATTTGATCTCAGTTTTGCTTCCTGAAAGAAATAAATGTTTACATAGCTCTGAATTGCTAATGAATATTTGTCTCAAGATTAGTACTTGGACTGTATGTGATAGTCTCACATGCCATTGCAGGAAGCAAAAGCTTTGCATCAGGGAATTTTGCTTAATTTAGTATGTCAATTTTCACAAAGTTTTACTTATTTATTCTGGTATTGAGAAATAAAAGCAAACAAACACTTCAAAGAACAGTGTTCAGCTGCCCCTCAGACACCTCTCTTCCCTGCTCTGCTCTATCACAAACCATCAAAATTCTCCCATGTAGTCTTGTTATTCAAGAGAATATCCAAGTGCAGAGCACTAGCATATAAGAGCAAAAAATAGGAAAAAATCCAGATGGACAAATGCAAACACGTCGAAAGCATGCCCTGTGTCTTGAATTCAATGCTTATGCTGGCATCAAAACTTTCCTGGTAAATAACCGCATTTGATATTTTACAACTGAAAAAGAACTTTTACAAGTTCTGAAAACACAAGGAAAAGTTGAAATTTCACTTTCAACTGAAAACTAGAAAATATCACGGAACTAGCTCAGGTATTAAATGCATCAATGTTAACATTAAATGCACCAAACAACATTAAACAGTACATGAAAAGCATTTCAAAACAGTCACCAAGATACAATGAAGCATTGTTGTGCTAGCCTTTACTGCACTTAGAACTTAATATATTACAGCATGTTTTTAACACACTAAGTCAAAATTATTAATTTCACTGCAGTATCTTTTTATTAGCAGGACACTAGCATGTCTAATCAGATACTTTAGATATTCCAACCACACTGCTACCCACTCTTCCTGGTTCAGGCAATTCCAGCAAATGGATAATCATTACATTTATTTCAGTACAAATATAGACACACATGGAAAATAAAAATCACACACAGAGGCACATAAAAATTTGAGCATGACAACATTTTCTACTCTATATTATTTCTGTTAAAAAAACATCAGATCAAACTTCTAGCATTAAAGTCAAGTTTTAAGTATATTTCAAAGCATATCAAGAATTTAGTTTTATAATTCCCCGACCCAAACATGAGTAAGAACATAGATGTAACTAAAACAAACTGAAATTCACTTTATGAGAATATCCTAAATGCTCAATAAATTCTCATTTTTCCTTTCCAAGCAAAATCTGTAAACAAGAAAATTAAATTGTAGTCTGGTATCTCCAGTACAATATTTAAGAAATTTCTGAGAGGGAAGAGGAATGAATAACCTGTTGGGACAAAAATATTCCAATTTCTTCAAAGTTACTAATCACATGTAAGATAACAATTTAAGAGGGTTTATAAAGGTACTTATTCTTAATTACTTGATTTGGCAGTCAAAAATAATATGCTGGTTTCCCCCTGTTTCAAGAGCCAGAATAGTCCTGGCAAGATGGAACTCAAACGCTAAGGCAAAACATTTTAGAAATTTCTATAATACCCTATTCCTCTTTAATTTTACAAACACTTAGTATACACATTTCCTTCAGCAAATGTAGTCTAATGGAGTATCAGTTGACTTTCACAGTATTTTCTATCTGCTATTACAAATAAGCTTGAGATAGCAAAAAAGGGAATTAAAAAACAGTACATTAACTAAAACTGCATATTCACTGGGGAATAAAGATAAGTTGAACTCACTTTGGGTTGTTTTATTAGATCAACTAAATCCTTTACTTGATGTCGTAGCAGATTTTGACATTTCCACATTTCATTCAATGCTCTAAAAACAGAAAAAATTAAAAGAATTGTCAAAATTATCTGTTCAAGGAGTAACACAACTGTCCAAAATGAGTCTTTACAGTCTTTTCAATTTTAGACTCAGAAATGTACTTATCACCTCAACTTTCACTGAGTGAGCAAAGGCTAGATATTTCCTAGTAGGATACCATGGAAAATAACTTGGTCATATTAGACCGAAACAAAGTTTCATTTCAGATGCTTAAGTACACTGCCTTTTAAAGGAGGAAGTAACTAATCACTTGTCCATTAAGAACTCATTTGTACAAGCCTGAAATGACTCTTCTAAAAACATACCAAGAAGTAGGTTAAAGCAGATGTTTAAGATTTCTATCACCAAAACAATGTTTTTCTTGCAGACAGGAAGCAGCTACTAGATGAATAAATTGTGAAAAGTGGACATGATTAAGTTTATAAGAGATGCATGAAAGATACTCAGCAGAATAGAAAATTAACACACTTTCCAGGAATAGTAAGCCATATAAATAGAAGACACAGCCACATTTACAAAACTTATGGAATCCACAAGTAAAAAAATCATTTCTATATAAATAACTGAACAAATTATGTCCTTAAAATGAGTACAGGAACTGTAGAATTCAGAAGTTACTTGTTGCCTGAAATAAGTAACTTTAAATAATCCATTATGCATTTTCATTTAGCCTACACTAAAAATTACTAGAATAGTAAGTTTTTATTTTTAGTATACTATTAATAATTTTAGTTTGTTATAACTGCCATAACTTTGAACAGGGAATACAAGAAATTAAGGGGATTCAAACACCAGTTTTTGTAGTATTGGAAGGCTTTGGGATCTTTTGAGGCATTAATTCATATACAAAGCCTTTTCTAGTCTCTTTCAGAGGAAAAAAAGACCCTCTATTTGATTTTCAAGTGACTGAGTACTACTACATGAAAAACAAAGTAAAACTATCTAAAATCAATCCAACTGTGAAGATTACAGCAGTAAAACTGCTATTAGTCAAATTCACGTGCATGTACCCATTTTAGGCTGGAGAAGGCACATAACACAATAATAACGAAGGAGGAAAGACAAACAATTAAGTTCTCAAGACAACTTGGCTGCTGCAACAAGGAGCTTATCAATTAAGAAGTTGTCAGGTAAGATTTTGGGCTGATCTACCATATCTGTGTTATCTCTTTGCAGACATGAAAGGACTGGCAAGCCCTCAAGCTTCTTTCCAGATCTTTAACACTATGTTTTTTAGCTGTTTATGGTTGAAATGTACTGCATCTTGTTAGAAAACATCCTGTAAGTTTAGGGGTTTTTCAAAATCTCACTTGAAAAATAGATGCTATTTCTACATTCTGTTTTCTAATAGTTTATAAACTATTTCTGTCCACTGACTTAGGCTACTGATAATAATTCAGAGCTACTTCACAATAGCATTTTATTAAAAGCTATTTTGCAAGCAGTAAAAAGCAGCACGTACTTCACAGCATTTGAATCCAGTGTTGCATAAAGGTAATACAAACACTTCATCCGTTCGTTTGTTTCCAAGTTATGAGGGACCATGTACTGAGCAAAAATGCGTTCAACAAGTAACCTGAAAGACAGGATTAAGACATTTAAGCTGTGTAGGAAGAACACAGCCTGGAATTGCTGAAACATCAATTCAAAAATTCTCAGCCCTATCTAAACATCAGTTATAGCAAAAAAATTATGGAGATATTAAAAAAATCTAAAGCTCAAGTTATTTGACATAATTCAGCATAAATTAAACAGAAATTTTTCATTATAGAAAGCACAATGTTAATGCCGGCATTAGGAGATTTAACAGATCTCCTAAAATTATCAAAGTCAGATGTATTAATCTAGAAGAAATCAAACAATTCAAGAAAGATACTAACTACCAACCCAATAAAATGTTATCATTTAATTTCATTACAAGTCAGTATTGGGATAAATTTATGAACTGACCCAATTTAATTGCCCTAAAATAATACTGCTACTACTAATAATAATGCTTAAAAAAAGGAAATATCATGTTGATTATATCACACAAAATCATGAAGCCCAGAAGGAGAATTCAGATGCAAATTAGAAGGAGCTGACTTTCTTCCACCCTTATCTGGCCCCTTCCCCACAGACTGAGTTTATCCCATGACTTTTGCTTCTGCAATATAAATGCAGGTATATTCCCAAGGGAATTATTAAAAGCTTCTGTGTAACATGAAGCTCCTTATTTGGAAAAAGGAGGAGAGAGGCTTGAGCCTGACAGTTACCTAGAAAAGACTGAGAAGAAAACAGAAAAAGAGAAACCAAGCCCACATGCTACTCCTAAATACCAAGAAGTCCAAGACTGAGGTCCAATATTGAGATCAGTATTAATAGAATGGAGCAAACCATTAGAAACAATCATGTATATTTATGCTGGAAAAGAAAACAATACTCCTTATACACATTTGGAGCAGATGATCAAAACCCAAATCCAGCTAGTTCAAAAAGTTTAAGAAACATATCCACAGGTAAGACTGGATTTAAGGATCCAGACAGTCTATTTCCACAGCACCATGAAAAAACTACTTGTTTTGAAGGTAACTTTTTGATGTTTTGCATTTTTGAAAAGACTTGTATGGGTTTGCAACACCATTAGTATCCAAACACACTGTGAAGGCTCATTTCCAAAGCCAACACGATGACCTTGATTAGTCAAGGCAGACTTGTTCCCAAAAATGTTACCCATGTGCAACCATCTCTTGTTCAATACCAACAACTGTATACAAGGCTACAGCTGGTGTGACAGAGGCACTGCTTTCATCACAAAACCAGGAGAAGGCCCTAATTCACAGCTTCTCTGCTACAGAAACCTAAATTTCTGCAGTGTGATAGAGCTTGCCCACTGTCACTACACATGCTATCTTTGAAACATACAGGAACAACATGCAAATCTAAACCAGCATTATTCAAGCAGGTTTGCCTCCTAAATTTTAACATAAAAATTAACACATTACTGATATTTAAACAAAGATCCCCTCTACTGAAGCAGTGGCAAAGTACACCTAAGACTTGTGAAACATTCTGACTTCTCACACCCTTTAGAACCATTTTTGGCCTTAAAATAAGAAATAATAAAGTAGAAGAAAACAACACAGGTCAACATCTGGCTGCAGCTATAAAATCAAAATCGAAACAAACAGGATTATCAAGATTCCTCCTTCTCATCAGCACTGGAACACAAAGGAAAAACAGATCTTCATAACAAGTTATAACACTTTGATACTAAATCGCCCACCTTTTACAATTAACTTACCGGTCATCAATACTGTTTTGATAATATATATGCAGAAGTTTATCTTTGATCCATGATATCTGTTTTGCAGCTTCTTTTCCTGCTTCTGATTGCAATGAATATTTCTTGTATATCTGTGCAAGTCCCATCATAGCTTCCTTCCTCACTCTCCACTTGACAAAAAGAAATAGCAGCCAGTTTAGCAGGTCAAAACTCAAAACTGAAAAGACTGTAGAATTTTCTGTTACATATTTCCTAATTCTACACCAAAATAACATAATTTAATTCACAAAAAAGCTGAACTGAGTTCTCAGTGAAACAGTTTCTTATTAGGATGTATGTTGCATCACGTCTATTACACTAAACCTGTCAACACCAGTAACTACCATAGAAGTATGCCTCTTGAATTTAGAATTATTACTGATTTAAGCCAACACCCTTTCTCACACTCCATACTTACTATCTGTATTTCTGTTATGGATGAAACAAGAAAAAGCATGTCACCAAATGAAAAAAAAATTAGGCGATAATTTTTAAAGTTCACCATCATCAAATGTGTTTACTGTGCTTTAAATTAAGTAGCAAACCTCATAAATTTTACCAAATAATGCAATAAATCTAAACTAAAATTCAAGACTATTCAAATTTGCAAGCTACTACCCTGATTTGCAGTCTTTCAATGATCTAATTAAAAGCAAGTAATTTGCAATACATGCAATACATTCTGAAACCTGCTTGAAAAAACTTTTAAGAAAAATGCTAGAATGTTTTACAAAGGTTTTCTTTCATTCAAAAGTTTTACTGGACTAGACAACTGGAACAACATTGTTGGGTTGCAGCCAATTTAATTATTTAAATCACATCTTAAATAAAATACAGCACAATGAAAAATGTAGCATTCTAGTAATGGGAAGAAGGTACCTCATTAAAGATTTCATCAAGGTTTTTTGCTTTATATTGGTTTTCATTTGTAATTTAAAATCAGTATAGCATTTTTTAGAAGTGCTGATTTTAAAGAAGGTGAATATTACAGCTTAGAAGTATAAAACAGCTATTACCAATACTAATTATGTCTTACCCGCTTGTCCAGTGTCCTTTCTCTGACGAAATTTAGCAGGTGATCATTGACAAGCAGAAGATCTTTTTTAGCAGCAGTAACTATGGATACTATAACATCATGCCGTATGGCCTCCTCAGGATCATGTGACCTTACTTTCAGATATTCTGGGGGGAAAACATGAGTCAATGTAAGTATACAACTTCAGCTACTTTCCCCATTAGACAGAAACAGAACAATATTTTATTCTGTTTGAAGCATCAGCAGTAAGAAACCAATAATTTTTTCTATTTACATTTACATTTCTGGAATGTCAGTAAAATTTCACATTTGCTTAGAATATTAAAGATGCATATTACTGGCATTATTGAAATAAGAATTATGTGGCTGCAATTTCTTTTTTTATTATTTCCTATAGAAGTTACACTATGTAGACATTAGCAACTATCATAACCAAGCAGGACTGGAGCTGTAGAGTAGAATAGACAGTGCTTGAGAACTTGCTAACCACACCACACACATTTTAAAGTCTTACACCAAGCTAGAAGCTACTCTCTTCTTGCAGACTCCATGCCTTTTGGCTCCTAGAGCACATCAGTTGCACACCTGCTCACAACTTCTGTATTACCCACAAGGAATCTAGCTCACCTGCTCCAGGAACACTCAACAGTATGAGCCATGTAAGCATCGTAAGCTGGGACAAATCAAGAAATACTTCAAACTATAATGCTTATTTAGACACATCATAATTTATCCATCTTGAACAATTTTTCTAGATTATTCTGGTACACTGCTACTCATTCACTAACACCAATAATCTCACATTATCAACACCTAACTGCTTTTACATGTCACATTTGTTAGCTACCTATTGTCAATTTAAAAGCTGACAAATAAAATGGCAAAGTTCATTTATCTTTTTAGCTGTATTTTAGGCTATTTTAGAAGCACAAAAGGGTAGGAACACCCTAACAGAAGTCAAGATTGCTGTTCACTGCATACATCAGTGCAACGCTGAGAACTTTAAGAAACTTTGCAAATTCAAACTTTATTTTGAATGAAAGAACCAGAGGTTACTATTCTGTCATGACTATTCAATGACCTGTGAAAGTTTTCAAGTCTCATCTGAAACACTAGCCATTAACATTACCAGTAATAAGCCCAAGTGTCAAAAGAGCATATTTCAAAATAATGCTTTGCAGTTATGAAGACTATGAAATTTTTAATTCAAATAAGCCTTTTTAAAAAAACCTATTGTTTCACAGGAACATAAACTGAAACAAATGAAAAACACTGCCATTACACAAAACAATTCTTGTCTCCAATACCAGTGAGCCACAGAAATTTTTAAACTATTTTGCTTTGATAAGCACTGTGGGGAGAGAGAGGAGGGGCAAGCAAAATTATATTTCCCAGAGGAAACCATTAGAGGGGGCACAAAGTCTTTCTGCAATGTAAAAATAAAATAAATTGAAAATAAAATTCTGATAATTAAAAATGAAAATATTTTTACCATTCTATTAAGGAAAGACACAGAACCTTTTGGGTTTTTTACGCTGGCTTAATTCAGAATCACAATATATTCTGAGTTGGGAAGGGACCCACAAGGGTCATCAAGACCAACCCTTATGGCCCAAATGGGGATCAAACCTATGACCATGATGTTCCATGCTCCAATTAACTGAGCTAATCTCTGGATAACACTGTAACTATAGGTGACTCCAGCCTGTCTCTGCTTGTGTCCAATTTGACAAATACCCAGCAAGCAGGAGAGCAATCCCATGTACTTTAAAGTCCTTTTAATTCCCTCCTCAGGCCAACTAGGCAAAGATACTGACTCAAAAAAACTACATGTAGGAGTTTGATGATCAGGGGAAGATACAGTCTAAGCAAACCAACCAATTCTCATTAATTACATGTGTTTTTTTATTAAGACATGGGAAGCAGCAAATAATAAAGGCTTCCATTGATGCCAGTTGCCTTCTTCCTACAGAGCTCCTGAATTTCAGGCTGTGTTTGATCTGAAGGAGATGGAACTGTGAAGTTGTGCTCAGTTATAAGGACTGTTACGTTTTAGACAGTGACTGTATAAGACTTAAACATTTCAGCTTTGTGCAATTTAAGTCTCCCCTAAGCACCCTAATTAATAAACACCAGGACCATTAGGTTAGGCAGGCTGTCTTTACCTGATCCCATGGTGCTTAACTTCAGCAGCAGTTGGGAATGCAATGGGAGTGCTACTGCATGAGAGGGAGAGAGTCTTTGTGTACAATCCCCTCAGCCTGAGAAGCAACACTGAAGGCAGGGACTTTACTTAGAATTCCACAATCAATCAGGTTCTGCACAAAATCTGACAGCATTATTTGACATTACAGCTGGCCTTTTTGACTCTTCCAGTAGTCTTAAAAATGGTATTTTAATGTTATAATGAAACTGATACCTGTTAAGTCCTTTGCCAGATCGGGGTGGTTCATAAGGCAGTGACTTGCAAATTTGACACACTCAAGGCGAATAGGTACGTGGATATCATTAAACCTGGTTAGAAACAAGACAATGCATTACAACTACAATTCCACTTCTACCAAAGCAATCTGTTCATTTTTACACCATATAAAATACTTCTGAAAATGTTTTTTATGCTTCCCATGCATGGTTACATGCATACAGCATCCCTGACTTCATAGTATTAAGTACACTGTCTTTAGCTTTAAAAAAAATTCTCATATTCATTTGTTGATTCATGTTTTGAACATGAAAAGAATTATCTTCTCCTGGTACACACTGAAAACTCCCAGGCAGACAAAAAATTATTAGAAAGATATACAATATATTTTAATTCCTTTTCTGTAATGCTACACCTAACTAACCATGAGAAATGTATCAGAAACTCAAAATTTTATAAGACTGTGACATTCATCCTACTGCATGACAGGCATCAAACAAATGTGTATTTAGTCTGCTACAAATTTTTTCTGAGATGGATCATTTAATTGGATTTCCTTTTGGAAGACTGAACTCAATTTGATGCTTGGAAACTAGTATTTTCACATTTTTAATTATTATATAAGTAATTTTATAATAAAACTGTTGATGCAATTAGTTAGATGCAATTAGATGCAATTAGAAGATAACTTCCAAAATTAAATGCATTTTCAAGCTATCCTCAAAATCCTTGGCATGAAACAACTTAAAAATGTAATTTTAGAACACTGTTGCTATTGAAATTTATTTATCAAAATAAATATCTTAAATAGATTTTAAGGAATACCTGATTTTAGTGGTTTTAGTAAAAGCTAGTTATGTTTTCAAAAATCAAGATATTTTTATGAATGCTTCCTTCAATAACACAGCTATTATAACTTTGTGAAAATTTTATTATAACTTGGTGAAAATCTTTAGAAGTGGTAAATGCATATATGTGATCCATAACTAGCAGAAAACAGTTATTTTGAACAAACTGCACATAATCTCAGTGTAATATAATGAAGCATTTTCCTTTGGGCCCAATCAGATGTGGAAATTATTGATGACATTTCCTGTTTTAAATAGTTAAATATTTTCATTCAAAATACCTTGCTTCAATTAAGTTTCTTCTATTCTTAAAAGTAGCATTTCTTTGAGGACTCTGCTTTTGATGATTGAATGCTATATTATAAACTATGGCATTTGCAATAACTTTTAGAATATATCCTCTTTTACTCAAATCAAAAATATTTTCTTTATAGTAGCCAAACTGGAGTTTCTCATAATTATAAGCTCCAGCTGTATTTTCTATCTCAAATTGGCAGAATATTTCAAAAAACAGGAAATGAAGTACGTTTGCAGCATCATAAATACTACATACTTTTTTAAGGTACCCGTACCATTAAAAAAAATTAAACTCATACACAAAGACTGTACATAAAAGCCTCAAGAGCACTTTTAATATCACCTAATACTAAAAACATCCTTTGATGCTGTTTTAAAATTAATCCATCATTGAACAGTTTCACTTGTGAAGAAATTAAAGTATTCATTTTTCTTGACAATGGCAACAAAGCTAGTTAAAAAAAAAGAGCATTTAAGGAGATGATTTGTGAACGTTCACTCTGTGGAATGACAGATGTGGAAGATATGTGTAAAATTGCTTCAGCATTATCTGCCAGAACTCAGATAAAGCAGCAGGAGGGAATTCAGGCTTAGCTGTGTCACTTCAAAAAAAAAACCAAATCAAATGCATTTGACTTCATTGAATATACTTCCTCCCAGGACAGGAAACTAAACCAGAATATACCTCCCCAGGTAGCACTGCCAAAGCGGTTTGTTTTGAGATGCCAACTCGGAATCCTTTGCCCCAAACATTTTTGCTAGAAGTTTTACAACCTGCAGACGTTCTTCGTTGTCATTGCTCTGGAAAATGAACAGATTTTTCTTAAAGTTAAAAGAAAAACTAATCCAAAAAACAGAGTTCTGTTTTGTACAGTTTTTACACCAACGCACTTCCATATTTCTAGAAATATCACAATACAGCTTAATAGACTTCTCTTACATACAAAAGTCTATCAAGGCAAAGACCCTTCATTACTTTTTTGAGAAGACAAAATAATAAAGACTGTGAAAATGAAGAACAAGGCTAAGACAAAAAACACTGTGAATGAAGCCTGGTGAAAAATACATCTTTTTAACACTTATTTACTGTTTACTGATTGTTAGGAAATCTGATATGTGCCTGTATAAGTTCAGACACAACACAAAACTTACAGAAGTCAATCTATGCTTGTCTGGTATACAGTTCTTTAAAACAGTGCTTAATTAAAAATATTAGTCAAAAATAGCAGTTTCCGGAATACAAATTTCTAGAGAACATCAGATTAAGTACCCAAGATCTGAGATCCACAGGATGTGTCCTGCATTTGAGCCTATATTCAAAACTGCTGAAGTACAACAGATAGTCTTCCTTTTATATTGAAAATGAGCACCAACAGTAAGAGTGGAAATATACCAGAGAAGGCCTTGTTTTATCATTGTTTTGCATCACATTCTTTAATTCAATACACAGAATATGGACCTTAATGCATACTTCAGAAATGTATGTTAACATTTGTGCAATTAGTGTGTACTTATTGTTCATCGTATCTTTTTCCTTTGCTTATTAAAGAAAAGGGAGAAAACCCAATTGGCTGCAACAATTCCTTGAAAATGGGCAGCTAAAATTAATTTCTATTAATTAGGCCAGATTATTGCTTAGGTGATATTACTAATCCATTATTATTCCCATTTTTTTCTGGTAAAAGTTAAGAACTGTGTAAAATACTGGAGTTTTTTCCTAGCATCTCTGAACTCTTATTAGTTCAACATCCCCTTCTGAACATGAACAAGACATAAGAGCACAATATAGCTGTTGGAATTCTTTTATACGACACCACAGTTTTGGAGACAAACTATTTCTCCTGACTCAATACCATAAAAGGGCTGAAACGTTTGCCAGCATGTCTTTAATTCAGAACCCTAAGAACAGTAAAAGCATTTGTAAAATCCTTAAAGTAACAGAGCAAGAGAAGTGCAGGATGCACTAACAGTGATATATTACTACATTACAAAAGACTAACTCTTTGGAATACACTTTAGTATTAAGTATTCAAAGCACTAACAGCAAATCCATTAATATGGTTTTTTGCATTTGACTAATTTTTTTCCAATTAACATTCACATTGATATGACTGAAAGCATTCTACAACCACCTCCTCTTAATCTGCAATAAATAATAGTTTTTTCTTAAAGAGCTTCAGCCCATTATACTACGAATTCTTGTTCTGTGGGGCATAGTTAAGAACGTTTAATTTCTTTTTTTGGGCTGCATTAGTCCAGCCTTCATGACTTACATCCTATCCTCTCTTGCTTAAACAAAATGCTAAAATACTAAGCATCTCTGAATTTTTTTAGGGAACTAACACAGATTCAGAGCAAGACGCTCCAGAATGTGGAAGAAGGAGCCAGGTGGAGGAGCTGGGAGCACACTAAACATTCATCTACTTAATTATACAGTCAGAAACATAGAGGAAAAAAATGACAACCAAACAGAATAAAACAAACCCACAAAACAACAAAACCCTAAAATATCCTTAATTAATTAGTTGCAGAAGAAGCTTTTGCTGTATCAGCCACTAATCCAATTATAAGACAACCCACTTTTGTTTCTAGTCCTGTTGTAGAAACAACAAATACCTGTGATTATGGACCTTGGTAAATAATTATTTGGTTCCTTCTAAATTTTTTGCCCTGATGTTGGCTTCCCTGAAACATGGTTATATACACTCCAAGGGGTAACAAAAATAAACCTGCACTTCCTACTGAATGAATACATTGCTGCTACAGTTTCTCTCCTTTATTCTACTCTAATCTCTGCTCTTTTTCTGAGGGTGATAAAAAAGGCATCAAACTCTGAAAAAATCTTAATCTTTCTCCATTCTGTGAGACACTCTGTACTTGAAGAGTCAGACCCTTCACCTCTTAAGTAAATCCAGCACTCTAATAGTGTTCCATCATGACTTGTCAATACAAATTGACACCAAACATGAATATTTCCAGTTCCCCATACATGGTCCCAGCACACAGGCAGCTGCTCTTTGGCCTAGACATTTGAGTCTGTCAGCAAGAGAAGCTGAAGCCAGTCAGATTGTTACCACTACTGAGTCCAGAAGACTAGGCAGCACTCCGGGCCTGGAGAGATTGGGAATAAGAAGTGGACGCATAACTGAAACTTCTGAAAATTTTAATTACCATACCCAGGAAGAAAGGCAGCTGTAAAATAAGAAGTCATCCTTTTATTGATTTTATTCATTACATCATATTGGTTTAGTAAAACAGTAAGATAAAAGCCTAAACCCCATGACAATTATTTCCAAAACAGTCTATTCATGAGCTTTCCATTCTCTGAACATTTAAATGTTATTTGCTTTCTGTAACAGAAATTCCTAAAATTTAAGTATGAAGTTTGAAAAAAGTTCCTTTCCTTTAGTTTCTTCTACAAGCTGACCTATACAATAATACATTTTTAGCTTTTCCCAAACCCATAGTGCTTCTGTGTCAGTACTAGATCTCTATACACATCACCTTAAAATGCCAAGATCACGCACAAATGACTGACCCTCACGGAAGAGGTTAAATTAAATTAATATAGTGCTCATTCTCCTGTTAATTCCCCAGACTCCTTTCCATAATCAGGCAAAAACCAAATTACTAGTAAGATGCAAACCATGATTTCACACAGTTTCACAGAGCTTAACAACAGTTCTGCCACCTGAGAACACAGGACCTTTTTCTTTACATAAATCTATAGAGCTAGGGCAGGTTGACCCCAGGCAGAAGCCAAACACTTACCCAAGTCCCTTCTCTCCAACAGAGAGAGGAAGGGAAAAGGAAGGTTAAAAGGCCCATACATCAAGAGAAAAGAGTTCAGTAGGTAAAGAAAAAGCTATGTGTACAAACAGAGCAAAAAGAGGAATTCATTCACTACCTGCCACTGGCAGGGAGATGTCCTGGCACTTCCTGGAAAGCAGGGTCTCACATAGGGATCACTTGGGAAGACAAACAGCATGAACACAAATTAATCCTTTCCTCCTCCTTCCTCTGGCCTTTTATTGCTGAGCACATCTCCCCTTTCAACCTTCTACTCTACTCAGCCTACCTGGGGGGAGGAGGAAGGGCACAGGGAGAAAGCCTTTACTTGTGCCTTCACTGCTGTACCAAAATGGCAAGGTGCTTGAACACTAGGTGGCCACATCGTTTACATCCCAAATAGTGAGTAGGTTCAACAGTATTAGAGATACCTAAACTTTCACACAAGTTTCATATCAAGAGTTTTTAACCCCTCTTCACATGGTCAAAAATTTATTTGGTCTCTGATGAGAAAGTCCCTGGATTTTACCCCCACTCAAAGAGACAGTCTACAACCCTAAACCCATGAAGATAAACCAGAAGGCTTCCTGATAGAAAGAGTGCAAAAATTTTCATGGAGATGAAGAGCAAGAGATTTGGATCCTGTCAGGTAATGAGTTACAAACTCAAAAGATTTTTGTTTACATCCTCAAAGTCCCACCAAGCCACAAATCAACCAGAAGGCAGAGGAGATGGCTCAGCGAAGCTCAGCTGATGGTTAGGGGAAAACCATCACCACTTCATTTTCAAAGTATGCCACAAAACCAAAACCACAGGATCACAGAGTTATAAAGGTTGGAAAACTAAAATCTTTAAGATCCTTGAGCCCAACAGTTAATCAAGCACCACCATGTTTACGAACGAACTATTACAGGCACTTCCCTTCTCCAAACTTCCAGAGACAGTAATTCCACCACTTCCCTAAGAAGCCTGTTTCAATTCTTGACACGTCTTTAAGTGAAGAAATTTTTCCTAATACCAAATCTAAGCTTCCCATGGTGCAACTCAAGGCCATTTTCTCTGGTTCTGTCACTTATTACCTGGGAGAAGAGACCAACTCCCCCACTTTTCTACAACCTCCTTTCAGGTTGTTGTAGAGTGAGTGAGAGATCTCCCCTGAGCCTCCTTTTGTCAAGGCTAAATGTTTAGAAGCAAAGAAATTAGATATTACACAGAAAGTCTGTTCCATGTACAGAATATGCAAGTAGAGGTAACATTGCTGATACCAGGAGGAATCCATTCAAATTCATGCAGAACTAGCCAATTTTACACCTGAAACCAAGCTTGCACTTCAGCTTGCAAGTGAGCCAGAATACTTGATATCTTTCTCAGGTAAGTCTGCCATGAGCGTACTTCATGTGGCCAAAATTTGTTTTCACTTACTGCTTTTGAAGCCAATGAAAAGGAAATTAATATTTTCAAAAATATAGAGAAAATTATTCAATTTGTCTTAGTAAAGATACTATGTCCCCTTCCGTGTGTTCAGTGCATGCAAGATGAGATCATTCTGGCACATCTCCACAACGCAGTTGTTCAGACAACCACAGCTTTCCTTCAACACTGGACAAAAGAGGAAAGTTTTTCACCATGAGATCAATCAGCCATTGGAATAATCTCCTCAGAGAAATGGTAGATTCTCTGATATAGGACATTTTAAGATCCAGCTAGACAGAGTGCTAGGCCATTTTGTCTAGACTGTGCTTTTGCCAAGAAAATTTTATCTAGATGATCCTTGAGGTCCCTTTCAACCTGGTATTCTATGATTCTATGATCATCTGCTAAGAAATAATACAAATCTCCTAAGGAGCAAAGCAGCAACATGAGATCTTGGAAAACACTAACTGTCCCACTACCTCTTAAGCACTACTGGAATATTTGCCTTCTGTAACCACAACTCTGTATTCAAGAGCCATATCAGACAATTTCATAAACAAAAACTGGATCTTCCAGTGAAACTACATATTTCACCTAAATATACTGTACAAACCTTAACTTCAGTACCCAGTAGTCCATGGTAAGTGAGGTCAGGAGGACAAGGCTCCTTAACTGGGCATACAGCAACACAGTACTATGTGCCACATCCAGAAAAGACAAAACCACTGAGTCCAGCTCTGAATGATATGCAGGACTCCCTGAAGCTCTTGGCTATTGTATGGTTGATTTTAATTGACCTCTATTGAAAAAAAACAACTCCCCTCTCCCAATTTTCAGTATGGACTGTCATGCACGTTTTTCCTTTACCAGCCACCTAAACCAAGGCTTCATCAAGCATAACAGGGTTACTGCTGTCTAGTTTCTTTTTATTTGAAGCAATAAAAAACTGGCCGTCTTCAACCATAATCACACTGAGTTTCATTGAAATCACACTTTATTCTCAACACACTAATGAGCTATTTACCCATTTAAAAAATGTTGACACTAGCTGCTGCTGTTCAGAATAAAGCTAAAGCTATTGTTGGAGTGGAAAGTATTTAATCATCACTGGCAGGTTTGCATGTAGAATGAACTTGTGCTGATCTCAGAAAAAACACAGGCTGACCATATTTCAGAACACTTATCTTCAAAATACTCTTCTCACCACAGAAAGATCTTAAAGATCCCTCAACTCATTTAGAACCATTTGGGTTGAAGGGACTTTTAAGGACATCCTCCAACCACCCTGCTGTGGGCAGGAACACCTTCCACTAGGCCAGGTTGCTCAAAGCACCACCCAGCACAGCCTTAAAGACTTCCAGAGGTGAAGCACCCACAAATTCTGCAGGAAACCGTTCCAGCATTTCAAACTTTAAACCAGGGGTATCCTATTCCAAAGGGAGGTGCTTTTTTTCTTCTTTAAAAGATGTGTCATTTGACAGCCAATGGGAAACAATAGGCATATATTATTTTTTCTTGTAACCTGAAGTATCAAAACACACGTGGAGTAACAAATGATTACAGTGTTTTTGGAATAGCTACAAACTATATTAAGTTCAAGAAGCCAACAAGGAATAAGAGTGGTAAGAATGTAGCTATCAGAACCTACATATCTCCTGGAAACATTGTTAAACTTGATCTTGTAGACATCAAACGCAAACCGCTCACCCTTTAAGGGTTCAGACCACAGTGAGAAAACTGCGCTAAGGATGAAGGAGACAGAAAGCAACAAAATACATGTACATCATCTGGAAAGAGCACACTAAACAAAGAACAGAAATGCAAACATGAAAAAAATGTGTTGTAAATTAAGGAGTACAAAGAAAACATGGAAATGCTTAGGGTTGAAATCAGCTAGCTGAAGAAAGAGACAAGAATTTTTTCCGGCCTGGGTAAAGAGGGAACAAAACAAAACAAACAAATAAAAAGTTGACATTGGCTACTGGACTGAATCCAATAAAATAAGACTCAAAAATTACATCAGTATTGAAAATCATGAAACATGAGTCAATGAAGGAGTAGGATGACAATTGAAGAACCTGCAGATTTTAGTGGACTTACAGATGGGAAAGTTACTGCAATTATATGCCATTATGGCAGCAGGTAAGATCAAATATCCTCTATAGCACCTTCAGCTGCAGAAGTACTATTTTTACTGGAGTGAGACTGATAATTGTTTGCCATTTGTAGGAACAGGAATTAAAGGCTGAAAAAAGGTCTACTTTGAAGACAGACAGCAAGCAGTAAATTGAACCCTACTTCTCTCAGAAATGTGAACAGAATGACAAAGGCATTAAAAAACCCCCTCATCCAGCAAGTGTAGCGTGCCTGCCTAGCAACATTAGGGAAAAGTAATTGGCATGAACAAGCCACTGTGATAATATATATTACCATAAGAAGAGGCCAAAAGTGCTAGAAACCCAAAATCTGTCCCCTGTACTAAAAACATTCAAACTTACAAGAGGCCCACTGCACATCAGCCCCTCAAGCTTAGTAACAGATCACATACAAACAGAGTAATACTAATCTAACCACAGGCCCCACAGAAACCCTGTGGAATGACACATAGAATAAAAGTAGTGCAGAATGAAGGGAGAATCAACTCGTGTTACATCACATTTGTCCAAGTGATGGAGACACTTTGAAAAGGAAGTCAAAAAGAAAAATACCTATTAAAATAGAGAGCTAGCACCAGCTACTCTCCAGACATACGAAACAAGCCTGAAAAATCATAAGACATTGCAGCAATTGCTACAAGACATACTGATGCATTCCACCTGTCTTCTTTCATCTGTCACAGAACTACAATTTGGGCAAAATTATTAGTATATATATTCAAAATATGATGTCTTTCACAATAAATAATAAGTAAACCCAGAAATAAAACAGGTCAAGCCCTCAAGTCATCCAAAAAATGGAGTTATTGCTTGAAATATACAAGCCCAAACAATCAACCAACCAAATCCCAAATACACACACACACACAATAGGTTAATACACTACAATTTAAATTACATTTTTGAGGAGCTGTATGGGTTTTCCTTTAAACAATGCAGAGAAGGCAATTTTTACACATAGTTCTATTTGCCAAATAATTTGAAGAACTTGTCAATCAATGAAAAAAACAAAACAATAATGGTCAAAGCATACATGTTTCAAATATATAGAAAGGGTAGAAGTGCTTACCTTAAGTTTGAATTCGAGCTGTGGTAGTACAGAAAGCAAGAGGTGACTGTCAATATTGTATAACTCCAAAATCAAATCAAATACATGCTCTGACAGGTCACTAATTGATGTTTTACCAAGCATGAGGACTTGATTGAAGAACTGGGAAACAAAACAGATTACAAATCAAGAATGAGAGTATACACACACACTTCTAAATCCTAAAACATTAAGTCACTTTTAACCTTACATTAATTTCACTCCTGAAAGAAAAAGGATGGAATGTGGAACACACAGATCAGGATTCCATTGCAGAAGTCTTAAAATATCATTGTCTTGTATGAAGTATTATACATAAAGGAAAACACATTAAACATGACATTTGCCCCAGCAAGCCTAAAAATAATTTAGGAAACACGACTTTAAAGGAATTTCAGTGCATCATATATTTTTATAGTGGGACTATATTCAGAGTTATTCCACTATAAAAAACCATCATTTCAAAAGTATTCTAACATTTAAAGCAAGGCTGCAACAACTGGCTAATTACTACACTACACAGCTGACAGGTTAAGGAGTTGAAAGTAAAAGCATAGGAGTTGATAACTGATTGTTCCAGAATTTGTATTCAAGCAGCATAATGCAACTGTAAAGCAAATATTCAAATATTTCTTCTTGGTAAATTTGACATACTTGAGGGAAACTTCCCATTAAAGAAAATATTTCCACACTATTTTCAACAACATCCTCCCTGATGGGTAAGAGGCAACTAAAGAGGAAAATATATATATATATATATATATATATATATATATATATATATATATATTATAGTGCATATTACTTCAAGTTAAAGACTGTCTTGAAGAACTGTTTTGCTTTTCAGGATACAGAGTTGCCTGAATGTATATAATCCTGGTTAGGAAACTAACTGATACTGTGTTTTTAAATGTATCTCAAGAAAGAAAATTTTCAAACCCACAAAATACCTCTCATGAGAAAGAAAGAAAAGAAGACTCCATGAGCATTCTTCCTATGGAGGAAGATTCTTACTGTACAGACTTCCTGAAAGCTCAGAAAACGGCACCCAGTTTGTAATTTAACCTTACAGATGAAGAAAATTAAAAACACATTCCCATGCACCAACACCTCCCCAAAAAGTAGGTTTGAAGTAAGAGTTTTTATTGAGCATTTTAAAAAATCTTAGAAAGCACCCACTTTCTAAATGTTGCAAGTCTGAAAGTAACAGAAAGCACTGAAGGTTTTCCAGTGTTTTCAAGCTCCTGAGGTTTTGGATAGATGCAGTAAGACCTGCTAAATCCTCAGCTGCTTAAAAAATAAGAGAGTTATTCTTTTTCCTATTGTGCAGCTCAAGATAGAGCATACTCCTCTCTGATCTTTACTTCCCCTCATCCATCTTCTATTAGTGTCCATGATGTCTACATTCAACTCTGGCACAACCCTCAATTCACTCAGCTTTCTTCTTTACTATCTATTCTTAGACTGCTTCCTTGTCTACTGCTGTGATAACAGCACTAAAATTCTGCTCCATCTTCAATTCTCTTCACTCTATATTGTCTTATCTCCTTACTAAAAGACAAATTTTCCTTACAATGTGCATATGTATTTTTATCAGAACAATATATAAAAATACACTTGGTATTCCAGTCACTCTAAGGATTGAATTACAAGGTCTTCCAAGACAGTAGAAAGCAAATTATCTATTGTATTTCCAAAATCTCAAGTATTAAGTACTTAACAGTTTCTATATGGTAACTAATTAGACTCAAAAGGACAGGTTACGAAGTGCTTCATTCATACGATCATTCTCTCAAAGAAAAATGACAACCTGTAAAAAGTTCTTGTTCAGCCCTTTTCATGTTTTCATGCAATTCATTCTTTTTATAACACTGCTCAGTTACAGAAAGTATTGATTTCCATGTTTGGTTGCAGTTGTCACTTACATTAGTAATGTATGGCTCAATTGCTTGTGCCGTCCTCTTTAGTAAAGCTTTTGCCAAATCATAGGCTTGCTTGTTTAAATTCTGGGGGGAAAAACAAACAAACAAAAAACCAGAAGAGTTATAAGCACACAGATTTATCTAAAAACAAACCCAAGAATTTAAAGCCATCATGTACTGGTAAATGCATTAAACAAATAGCCCGTTCTTTTTACATTTTCAGTAATAAAAATAATATAGTAAAAGCAAAGCTATTCCAAACAGAGATTTGTAAGGTTCACTGGTAATACTGAGGAAAAAAAACCAGCTCCAGGCAGAAGAGGACTTACTTTGCAGATGCACATCTAAAACTGATGCTCAATGAACTCAGTGCCTGCATTTCACTGCTCCTCCTTATCAGTTTTCCCAAAAACCAGTAAAGTGATACAAAGCAACAGAAAGGCATTTAGAGTCACCACAGAAGTGAGACTCTGAACAGAAGTACAGAAAATGCAATTCTGCTCTTGCATCAAGCAGCCACCTGTGAATCACCACCACAGCCTCTCCAACACACCATGCAAAGATAGTCTGCTGTCTGAGACAAAGAAAAAAACCCTAGAATTTCAGTTTACAGGAAAATAAAAATTGAAGTAATACAAAAATTTTAAAAAACATAACCCCTCTTCAGTATTCTTATCCTTCCATTTGTCGAAATGGGTTATTGCTCTATCATTGTTTTCTCCCTTTCCCTACACACATTCTCCACGCTCTAGTTGTTACATCCTTTCTCCAATTTCTAGATCACAAGTATTTTTCAAAAATTTTCAGGAGAAAATGCAACTCAGCCCTTGTGACACCACTGCAGTTGATTAACACACAGAAGAATGAAGAAGTCTTCAATACACAAGAATATGTAGCATTTTAATAGCTAAAAAAACTCTACAAAAATATAGTTTCTACTATATTTATTAGCCTTTGCAATTTAAAAAAAAACCAGTATACTCAGTTTATAATTCAACAGTAAAAAAGGGGCAGTTTGTGGTTGCTTTTTAAATATTTCTCACCATAAAAGGAAGAAAACTTCTTGTAGCAAAATGGAAAGCAAACACAAGGCATCATGCTACAACCCAAGGTATTTCTTTCCTTGGATATGCTGAATGAAAGAGAAGATTTGAAAGGATATGGAGAGATCTGTCTGAAATTTCAAAAACCCTATAGAACTATAGGCTTCTAAACAGCAGTGGGAACAGATTACCATTTTCTGATAATATAAACCAAAAAAGTCTTTGACTGGCCTACTGATAGAATTAAGTCAGGTGAACTTGAAACACTGCAAAGACTCATGCCTTAAGTGTCTGTTTCACTCAAAGCCAATAGAGAAGGTGACTAAAAATTCCAATTCCAGAAAAATACTTTAATATATAAAATTCTTTCATCTTACTACAAAACTGCACAGTTGTTCCATGTCCCAAGAAAGGGAAAACACTGCATACTGGATTGTTCTTTATGGTCAATAATAAAAAAGAAATTTAAAAAAAGGTATTTCCACTGGAATAATTTGTTTCCTATTATTCAAAATTGTAATGGTTCAGGAAAGAAAAGGCACAAATTACTATAACAAGCAATGTATGCCACTTGTAATTCTTGTTCTGATCCTGATCCACAGTTCACCTCCAGCATCAGAAAGAAAACCACTTCCACCAGGGTAAGAGGGAACTCTGGACATGAGCAAGATCTGGTTTAGTATAAAACAAGTCTAAACAGCAGACCTAGCACAGGAGAGTTCCAACAGGCAGAACTGTTCTGATTCACATTAATTACAGTTTCAGCTTGTATCTTTTGCACAGCAGCTCACTTCAAAGCTTAATGCTTCCCAAGATAAACGCTAGAAGTGGCTATTTGCAGCCCTGAGTAAGAAGGAAATGTAATGCAAATACCTATCCAAAAAAGCTATAAAGAGGAAAAATAGTCTAGAGCATAAGTGGCTAAGGAAAGTTTGCTATTTTTTCATGCCTCATGTACTTGATTTAATAGTGCCAATAGTCATGACTCTCAAATGTCCAGAGGCCCCACTTTCTGAAAATAACAATATCAAAGAGTCTTAAAAGCACACGAGTTTTCTCCTCATTTTCCAGTTTCAGGGAAAAAGCAGAAACCAGTGAAAGCGGCACTGCCTCAGGTGAAATGAAAACAAGAGCAGCATAGCGTTTACCAAGTAGGTTCAAAGATCTTTTACAGAACTAAACCTTCTGACTAATTCAACAGGCACAAAAATATCCTAAGCTTCCTTCTCCTTAGGGAGAAATTTTAAAAGGACAACATCTGATTTGACAAATTTCTTCTGTTTTTAGATAAGCTCTTCTACCATTATTATCTGTACAACCTTCCCCTATGTTAGGAAAGAAAACTGATGTGTATTTCAAGATCTTTTAATGATTTAAGAAAGCCCTCATGATGGGGACAATTATCTTAATCAAGATGCCTTTAGGAGCATGTAAAAGCATCCAGTAGGCCTAAGGTTTTTAGAGTCCTGAACAGGGTAGGAACAAAGCCATAGGTTGGCAACACTGTTTAAAATAATCATTAGCAATTACTACATCTTGAAAGAAAAAAATCAAAATAAATATTGATTGATAAGCAGAAACAAAAGAACCACCCCTGAGAAGGCAGAACACAAATCTTCTGCAAGAAAACTGAGGTTACATTAAACATCTGAACGAGACTTTTTCCCCCGAAACTTCCAGGTTTGTTTCAGAAAAGAATGTTAATAAACAGTGGAGAACATTCACATTTTTTAAAACTTTGGGAGCCCTCCAGCAATAATATCTGAATAGAGGCTATCTTGGTCAACCACAAGTTCTCTCCTTTGTCTCAATTTCTACCATGATTTCTAGGCATTTCTTGCTGGTATTTCAAGATTTTTATACTTTAGGAAAACATCAACATTTTTGTCAATTTACTGTTCATACCTGCTTTTCTCTAGAATGAAAATTACAAACTCCTATTTTTTGACAGAAGAAGCAATGGCAACCTCTCTGACAGTACGGCACACACATTTTTGTGCTCACACAGACAATATTCTCCAGCAGAGTATGCCACAGAGCCAAAATTATTTGTTCTTGCGCAAGGGGATCAGAAGTGATGGAAATCCATACACACTTGACTTTTTCTCAATTACTTTTCCAGTTACCTCTCAATAATCAATTTAACACAGATCAAAAAAATATGAGAGTGAAATAATTTTTACCCATCCCTTAAAAGAAAAAAAGGTAAGTGCCTTATATTTTATTTACAGGAAATTACTAAGCTAGCATCAATCTAGCCTTTATTTTGTAGTTTTGGGAGAAAAATCAAATGTTAAGTCTGTATCTAGTGCAAATATTCCTGAAAAGCATATTTTTCACATACTATTTACTTGGAATTTGAAAAGCATCTTCAGTTTTATTGTTATTATCAATGGTACAGCAGCTGAATTAGTACCCAAGAGCACCTGATAGAACAGTTTCAAGAGATTCTCTTGTTCTCAGGAAGGTAAAGAGATCAAGGACAGCTGATAAAGAAAAGGCTCAGCTGAGGTGTTGCCAACATAGATAACACTAAATATTAAGCAAATTCCTAGTAGGGACAGTTAAGAATTTAATTGTCAATATCACTTTTTCTAAAACATAGCCATGTAAAGCACGTGGGATGTGAAATGTGGGATTCCCTGTAGCAGTCCTGAGGCTGAAAATGGAACACTGGCAAACACCCAAGGAAATCAAGTACAGTTTGCCTTCTAACACACTGCACAAACACAAAATTGCTTTCAGGTCTGCCATAAAAGCATTGTAACACAAACAGATCATTAAAGGGTGAAGGAAAACTATTAATTTTTCTTGCCTTTTCATACTAACTACCTCTTCTCCCTTGCTGCTAGGTCTTATCTGGGTTTAGGTCACTTAAATTCATTCCTAATATAAACCTACCAAAAGAATTTCACTTGAGTTGATAGAAAAGAACTTACAAAAGGAAAAAAATAATTCAGCTTCAAAATTAGGAGTTAAGCACATGGTCAGACAAGTTAAGCTTGCCATTTTATTGGCTTATGTGACAGCTGTACTAGTCAAGCAAGCCTGTGCACACTCCAGCATGCCTCTTTTCTGATATTGGTGTCAACTGCTTTCAATCAGGTTTACATTAGTATGGCTTTTATCCTGACTAAGTGAGATGGATGACAAACTCAAGGGAGATACAGTAGTTTAGAGTTGTCACTACTTCAGTGACTACTAATTATGGTATACAGACATTTGGTAATATATCATGTGCCCAGTATATGCTCTTTATGTCTGAGTTTTTGCAGCCATCCTGTGAACACCATTGCTTTTTACACTTCCCACTCAGGACTACAGACCATAGTATTTTTCCAAATATGAAAAATAGTTGTCTTGGTTTAAGGGGTAACAGCATTGAATTACCCTTTTGTAAACTGCTCAGCTAATTACTACATCTCTTAAAAATATTTATGTAATTTTTGCCTAAAGCTGTCCAGTGCTGCATTTCAGCCACTGGATGAACATTCTGCTCCCAACATATACTTACAGACCACAGGCTAGATAAATTATACAGACTGAGATTTGAGGAGCTCAGTCTTGTTTTACCAATACAACTCTTCTCTACAATGCAGCCATTCAGTTCAAAAGGCCACTACACATTCCCTCTCATACACAACTTTCCTTTTGGGCATATTAAAAATATACCACTGTGTCACTTTCTATAGACAAAACTGTCTCATCTTCAACAATCTCTTGATCTGATCATCTTCAAACAGAGCTAGTAGCAGGTCTATGTTCCTTCCACTCTATCAAAGATATTTTTTGGTCCCTAGGAAATCTGGGGATTCCTTACAGACCATTACACCAACGTCTGCCTTTATGCCATTTTTGGTGACCAGCCTGATCATCCAATTTTCCTTTTCCACAACCCACACAGCTGAACAGGGAAGTCAGCCAAGACACAGTTCTTTTTTGTGGTGGACCTTATCCTTTGTCTCCTTCTAGTTTTGTGCTCAATGGAAGAGTGGAAAAATGCTCAGCTCTGCATTTATTACACTTTTCCAACTTGACATCAGTAGCCACAGAAAGTAGTGAGAGGACCCAAATTTTAAATAATTTTAAATAAAAATTCACCATGTGAAGACTTTGAGATGCAACAGAAAAATATGAGAAGTTCCTTTCCATTACTATGGAAAAAAAAAAAGTTAAAGATACTCAGAATACAAGCTGACATTATGTATCTATTTGTTAGAAAGCAGGCTATAAACAAGAATCCTATCCATAGAGAGATTTTGATTAAAAGAAAAACAGCAGAAAATGCAAACCCCCAAACATATTTTCCTTATTAAAATATTCAGTCAGTAATTTTGAATCCACTATGAAACAGAATTGCTTTAGTGCTACAGACATCCTAACAGGATACAAATTCTTCAACTCAAAGACAGTTTATTAAACATGAAACATAAAAATAGTACAGTCAAATCAATTTGAACACAGATGACACAACGAAACAATAGATTCTTAATAACTGAGAACACAGACTGAAGTATTTTGCATATTCTTGCTTTTGTATTCCAAAGCTTTACTTTATAAATCTGGACTTTAGCCACACAAATTTCAGTCTAGTCCTGGCACAAAAGTATTTAACTCCTTGAAGAACACAGCTAAAACATATCCAGTGGTGCTGACCTATATTAAGCATTTAGTCTTTCACTGTCAATAGAAAATAATTTATGTGCTACTTATTTACAGAAATTAATGGCCAGTGGTAAAGGCATACTAGTAGGCATTCCAAAGCATCTGTTAATAACCACTTAACCATACACTTTTTAGAAACTACAGCAGTTAGCACCTTCCTGAACATATTTTAAGAAAAAAAAAAAAAAGCTATTAGAAGTGTCCAAAATACAGCTAAAGGACACATTCCCTAGATAATTCCCCACAGTCTTTTTTTTCATGCACAGCTTGCAAGTGAGTAGCCCATGAGATTTCAGTAGGACACAGTTAAATTCCTGAACTAAGGAGTCAGACTTCCATGCTTTTTAAACATTTAAGTATCACAGCACGAGCACAGTTCTGAAGTTTTTCCTTCAGTTCATCTACAGGAGACTTTTTTTTAAACACGACATGATTTATTAAGGTAAGGTAGACATTCCTTGGGCTCTTCCTGAACCACCATTTCTGCACAGAGTTTTGATTCTATGGCTGCATCAGAAACATAACAATAACACCAAGCCAACTTTTCTGAAATGCAACAGAGCCAATTACAAATCAGCAGTCATAACAACTTTTTCCCTCCCACTAGGGCAGCACCTTAGTTTGAACTGTTGATATAGCATTACATCAATTAAAAACTTTCCAAAGGATGTATGTACCTTCTCTATTCCATTCTACCAGCACTGATGGGACATAAAAAAAACCCTGTGTTTAAATTCATATGATATTCAACCTTTTAGATTACTGATACTTTGCTTATGGAAAGTATATCACAGCAATGAAACTTGACTGAATTTTCTATTAAAATTACTTGTTTGCTAAAAGAAATCCAGATAATATCAAGACATTTGCTACAGCCATTCTTTCAATTAGAACTACATCTCTGAACACATACATCCAAGAAATCATGATTACAAAACAAATAGTAGAACAAAACAAAACATAAGCCACTAAATCTTACCTTATGTGCTGGCACTAGATTAACTAACACTGTATCCAAAAGTTCCTGTGACACAGTATCTCCCTCACAAATGATAGAGCTCATTAGATCAACCATGTGCATGTGTACTTTTTGGTTATGACCATTGCTGAAATCAAAAACAAGAATTCTTAGTGTAATATCTATGTAAAGTAAAAGTTCTGTTCAGAATATTCCCTGTGGTGATGACAAACAACAAGGAATAAAATCAGCAAATCACAAGTTTTCTTAAAAATCAAAGTACTTTGATTCCTTGATTGCATATACCATCATTCTTAAATTTCATGTTCTCCTCATTCACTACTGCAGTAAGACTCTGTCCCTATCATGAAAAGAAAGTGTATTAGAGCATCCTTCTGCTCTGCCCAGCACTGGGAAGACTTCCCCTGGAGTGCTGTGTCTAGTTCTGAGCTTCCCAGCACAAAAGGGACACACACATCACAGACTCAAGTCCAGCAAAGGTTCATAAAGATGATTAAGGGCCTGGAGCTGCTCTCATGGAAGGAGGGGCTGAGAGAGCTGACATCTTTGGTTTTGCCTTGAGAAGAGATGGCTTAGGAAAGAACTTACTGGTAAGTTTAAGTACCTGATGCTGGGAGCTGAGAAGACAGGGCAAGACTGTCTTTGCACCACAGGCTCAGTGGTGCCCAGACACAGAACAATACAAGGGCACAGGCTGAAATACAAGACATACCATTCAGACATTTAAAAGGGTGACTGAGCACTAGAAGGTTGCCCAGAGATGGCACAGCCTTTCCATCTTTGGAGATGCCCAAAACCTAACTGGCTACAGTTCTGGGCAATCTGCTCTAGCTGACCTGGTTTGAGCAAAGGGAAAAGGCTGGACTGCCTCTAGCAGTACCTTCTAGAGTCTGCTACTTTTTGAATCATGTTTTCACAGCAATAATCCTCCAAATCCCTTAGAATTGCATATTACAGCATTCATTTTCAATAACAGAACAAAATAAATGCAGTAAATGACAACTAAAGCTAAGTTTCTAAGAAAAAAAACATAATATGCAGTGTGTCTTGTCTCATTAAAACTGAAAAAGCTGACAGTTTTGCTACCTTTAGTTAAACTAAATTACAAAACTCATTAATGCTAAAAGTTAGAACTCGCTGACCCCAATCATGCAGTAAAATACTGTGAAATCTGAGGTTAAAATACTCACTTTATTACTGAAAAGAGTGTTCTATACAGCTGGGTAAAAATCTCATTGCTGTCCTCTAATTCAAAGCATATGTTATAAGACTTGACCCAAGCAATGTTCTGCGTTGGAACAGGAAAAAATAAAAGGAGTAGTTAACACAAGATTCAATTGAAAGATTATGCTTCACAATTATTATAAAATAAGTTATGAAGCTTACCTCAAGCAAATAAAAGTATCGATTGAACTGGGGGCTTTTTGTATCTTCTAAACCTTTAAGTTGCCTTGTTATGAACATAAATATATCCTGAAAAGAAAGAAGTGCTAGTTATTCAATAAACTGCAATTAGACCTTCCATGTAAAATAATTACCTTTTAAAATTACTTGTATTATTTAGTCACTGCAAAATATGCAGCAATGACAGACATTATTTCACTACCAAAAAGATCATGTACAAAAACATCATGGAAGATGTCAAGGAGTAATTTAAAAATACTTGATATTTCTTTAAAGGGTTGAGAAGTAACCTTTTCCTATGGAAACAAATGTTTTTCATTTCCAAAAAAGCATTCAACTTGACAAACACAGCTGCAACTGTCTGGCTGCAGAAGTCAAGAGATGATTATTCAGCAGGACAATGAATTTAATATTTTTACTTCATATTACAATCAGTTTCAAAAGAAGGAGAAAATAGCAGTAGGCAACTACATCTTTCCTAAGAGATGTTATTATATGTTCACTCTGTATTGTTTGTGCATTTCTCAGTCATCAAGATACTGACACAGATAACATCTCTTGCAAAAACTATAAACCAAGTTCCTCCTGCTTCCTCTATCAACTTTCACCACCAGAAGACTCCTTCAGAAAGTCTCACACAGTAAATTGAAGCAGGTTACAAGGAATAAATAGTCAATTATGAACTAAATAGAAACACACAGGAAGCTATCTTCTTAAATTTTTTTTCACATTCAGGTAATTAACAGATTAATGTAGTTGTGAATTTCCAGCTTACACAACTATATTAAATCAAAATATTTAGAAATAATATCACCAGAAACACTCTTCACAGCCTCAACTGTATCTATGTTTCATCCAATAACCTAGGTGTAAATGAAATAGATTCCAAAAGGATATATTCCAAAAGGTATAAAGCTGTCAAAATAGATAGAATAGAGCCTTACTGTTAATCCTGAAAATCCATCCAAGAAATAGTCTAAAAAGTGTTTCTGTAACACTTTCAAAATGACCATTTCTCCTAACCCCCCGAGAATAATACACAGACAAAAGACAAGAATATGGTTTCTTTTTTCCCAACACTATAACCACAAAATCCAGTCTTAATCATTAAGCTGAGCACTTACTGTGGATCTAGGTAAAAATCAAGAATTAGATTACATGTGACATCACCAACTCTTGGAAAAACAGCACAGCAAAACACTGTTCAGAGCTACAGCTACATTCACATTTTAATTTGGTTTGAAACTGATTTTTAAGAGTTAAGGATGATGAGAAGGATCATTGTCTGGTTCACACTTCAGGATCCTTTACAGAGCACACCATCTAGACTCTTCAGCTAGAATTAAACCAAAACATGTAAAGGACAGATCTAATGGTCTCCAACCACTCAGAAGCATTCAGTTCCCATGCAAAAGCTCATCTGAAGAATCCCTCCTTCAAAAATCAGTGCCTGAACACTAGCAGGCCATCAGTCCCCACCCAAAAGGAAAGCTGTCTTATGGAAAACACTGGAAGGTTCTGTAAAATACAAACTGAGACCCAGGGGAGAATAAGAATGAACTGAAGAAGAAAGGGGGCACATGACAGACTGACCAATGTCAAACATAAAAACTACTTAATCTTAGAACCCATGCTCTGTGTTAATTATTTTGTGTTAAACTTTACTTGTAGAGGTAAATCATCATCAGTTCATTTAACCAAGTATCTCAGTTTTTATCCTACAACTCAGTATGCAATACTTATCTACTGAATGTGATTCAAAGATCCTACTAACTTTGCAATAGAAAGTTCTCATCATTGTGCTGCATATAACTACAGACATTAATGAATAGGATACATGCACAGTAAGGCCAACGCCTGAATGGTTCAAATAACAGCATGGTTTGAAAAAGTAAGCATTTACTCCTAAACTATTTTTTCCTCTTCATATTTAAAGACAGCAACACAGACTAAACTCAGAAGTACTCACTAATATCTAATATCTCGTGTATTATGACCAAACATGTCCTTTTTTTAAGGACATTGCTCCCTCTTTTAAGCACACACAACATACCACTTGAACATGCATTTATAAATTCAAAACACAGGCTAAAATAAACTTTGGCTGCAGCCAAAAAATTACAATAATTTCACAACTGGACAATAGGTTTTCACATGAGGCTGCATAAAGCAAGTCTACATCAGAATCCAGATTTCAAAAACAAAAGTGGTCACACTTCAACTTCAGGGATATTTTTTGTTTTGTTTTGAGGATTTGTTTGTTTGTTTGTCTTGGGGTTTTTGTTTTGGTTTGGGTTTTTCGTTTGTTTTGTGGATTGCTGTCGTGATGCCAATTAACTGCATAATGGATTCAGTAACCATCAGTGTCATGGCTCTCACCAGAGAACACCTTCAGAGAACTGAAGTTCTGCTACCATTTTACCCTTTTTTAAGGGGTACTTCAGCAGAGACAGGTAGACAGTCCTTCTGTTTCAGTCGTTTTCAATTGACACATATAAATAATTAGTTTATTTTCCCACCAGAAAATTAGATTTGGGCTCTAGGCTTTACACGTACTGAGGAGGGCTCAAAGTTAAAAGTTTTGAGATCACAGCAGAGCAAACCTACTCCAGGTCTGTTTTTATTCTACTCATGGCATTTTCCATCCCTGTTATCAACTCCCTTTCAATGATCAGCAAAGAATGTAAGATTTACACTGATGATACACACAAAAGAGGAAAACCTGAGATTCCTATCCCTTTCCTCAGCATCCCATTTGCACAATATCTAAGTTATAAAGAGATCCACTGAGTCTGAAGCAAGGGCAAAAAACTTGAGATTTAAGTATTTTCCTCTCAAGAAATTAAACCTTTTTAGCAGTCCCCTTTGCCATTTTTAACTTTGGTTTTACACATACAAGAATAGACTCAGCTGCAGTATGGATTTGATATTAAATAGTGGGTAAAAATAGTGCCAAGATATAACCCAAGAGGAAGCATTCTTCCTCTTACCTCTGTCATAAAGTGGAGGGAACTCTTCGACATTTCTATCAGAGCTTGTCCTGCAACCACAAAAGCTGAGTTCAGAAGAAATGGGTTTGCAAGAAACCTACCCCAGCAGCCCTAGGCCAAGACATTGTTTGTCTTGTCTTTATTTCTCAAAATATGTTTAAAAAACTGCATCAAGAAACTGAATTCTGAAATCCACACAGATTACAGAACTCAATGCTGGCAACAGAAGTCCCTCATCCATTCCAAGTTCTGTCCCAGCAGTGTTTGCAGTATTCTGATACTTCAGGTATGAGATCAGTACTGTAAACCTTCCAATACTGGACACTACGAAATCTGAAGCTTAGTAGCATTTGGTAGATCAACTACTCTAAGGAGGAACTTAGTTAGCCCAACCCAGCCCAGTTGGGCTAACTAAGTTCCTCCTTAGAGTAGTTGATCTACCAAAGATCATTAAATCTTAGATCTACCAAAGATAAATTAAAGCTCTAAGCCTAACAAGCAAATGAAAACAGACTAAAACTGAAATAAGAATCAGGACAGCTGAAAACCAGACTTAAATAGAGCACAGTAGAGAAAGCTAATATTCACCTCCAGTTGAAGATGGTGCAATCAATAAGTGCAGGAAGTAGATGTTGTACCTCTGATTACACACTAATTCAGAATTTAGAAAACAGAACTAAGAAAAATCCTTAGATATCTCTCCAGTATGTCTGTTAACAAAAGATGTACTACAGCAGTTGGAACTGCCCTGTTTCCTTAATTAGGAAGCACTGCTGGCACAACCACTAGATGAGAAATTGAGTGATTTCCTCTTAAGTGATAACAGATAGACCATCCACCACAACCACCTTTCTATCCTACTGTGGAATAAACAAAGACCAAACCAAACTAAACAAAAAAGACCACACACATTTCTAAATCAGGGACACAAAAAAGCACACATTTTTCAGTGCTACTTTCACCTGGCTTTTCCTAGAATTCCCCCAAAACTTAGTTCATCACTTGAGATTCTGACTGCATGAGGGAAACAATTTGATTTTGAGAGTTGGGAACTAAGTTAGATTTCTACCTTAAAAAGTAAAAGAACTCACAAAATAATAAAAAATTTATTTCTTTCTGGAACAAATTAGTCAGATCTGTACTTCCTTTTCAAACCTGACATTTCTCTATCAACCATCTCCATCTAGTGGGATCAGTGATGTCTGTAATTGCAGAATTTCCCAAGCCACATCAAACATCGTTTAACTCTGCACAAAAGTACTTTATCTTTGTTTTAATAGAGCCTTTACCTATAAATATACAAGTAGGTGCCTCTTGGTAGTTTAACTGGAGATACAGGGGTATTTCCCCAAGTGAAGGTATTAGCTATCTTGCAAGAGATTGTGATAAAAGCTATACATATAATCAATATTTCTAAAGTAAACTAAGCTACAAATCCCAAAAACAGTTCAATAAAATAATTATTTTCAATACAAATTCAAAACTCTGCAAGTTATTGGAATATGTACAACACAGCCCTTTAAGTCATGGACAACTGACTTGACCAATCCCATCCTAAAATCAAGTGAAAACCTTGAAATGTTTAGGGTGAACCAGAAATAAAAGGAGGCAAAAAGCAGTCGTGACCAATTGTATTAATCATCGAGTGTAAAAACCTGCTGTGGAAAAAGAGATTAATTTTATTTACCTTCAGTTTATCCGGTGAAGTGTATGGAGCTTCAGGGGCATAAATTCTGAAAATATCGGCAAGACAACATGCTACCAACAAACGCACATCCTTATCAGGATGTTTGAGGAAAAAATCTGAAGCAAGATGTAAAGCAAGATTTAGGTAGAGCTCCTTTTCTTCTTCAGAGTCCTGGTCCATATCCATGAAAGTTTTCACAACCATCTAAATAGACAGACACACATTAATACATAAAATTAAATGCTTCATGTAACAGAATCCTTACTAAAAGTTACTTTTCTGGTTTTCTGCAACTTCTCTCAGAAACATTATTAGCTATGCAGTAGTACCTACTTGAGCAATCAGTGTTTTCATTTTTCAGGGCACAGGAAATACCTGGCTAAGTCCTCTATCAACTGAACCAACACACAGCCTCAGCAGAAATACTGAAAGTCTAGTTGTAGACTTCCCAAATCTTTTTGAGAAACCATATAATCAAGTTTTGACAATTGAAGAAGTGCAACAGGATTCACTGTTACAGCTTGTTACTGTTACTTAAAAATAGACTGTTACTTAAAAATTCAGACAATGGCAAAACTTTATTAAAAATATTTGTTTTTCTCTCAAATATTCAGTGACGATTTTTTCTTCCTATTCTCTTTCAGTTTCAGGTTTTTTGCCTATTACAGCTCTGAGGAAAATTCTATTCCCTGTGCTGTCCAGAAGCAGAGCCCACACTTGCAGCAAATGGATATATAAATCCAGGCAGCTGAGTGGCAAGGAGGTTGTCCAACAAGACTAAAATGACCACTAGGATTATGAGGATCCAGTTACTGAAGTCATGGAACAAAAAAAGAGTCTGGGACACCAATTATTTAACATGCCGAATAAAACAAAAGCAGGAAAAGCTATATTTAGTAACTGTTAGTTGGTGAAAATTCTTATATTTGAAAAACTTTCTGAAGGAGAGAAATTTATTGACAAAGCAAAGTAATTCCTTATCTGACTCACAGAGGCAGAGTTATTCTAAGGAGTTCAGCTCTTGTAAAATTAACAAAATTATACTAAAGCCTTAATTACACAATCCTGAGAATTAAAGCCAAAACTCCTATCTACTTCTTCAGTGCAAGAAGAGATGTTATTCAAAGAATCATAATTTCAAGTCCCAGAATCCTATAACACTGCAAAATACTTTATTTTTCTATAGTTTGTTGTTTGGTTGGGTTTTTTCCCCCTCCAAAAAATTTACTATAACTGGTCAGGGAGTAAGAAGCCCAACTCAAAAAAATCCCAAACTTCTACATAACTAGGATCACAGAAGCTGTGAAGTTTTCAAACATACGAGAATCCTTTATAAAAGGCATAGAAGATCAGCAGCTTAGGCAGACACAACTTCCATTGCAAGAAAAAAAAGGCCTCCCCAGTCAGGCACAAGACCAGAAGTGCACTGGTGCCCTTATACACTAATTAATTTACAAGTCAGAACTGCTTTCATTTCCATGAAAAGTAGTCTTTTCATACTTCTTGCAACAAGTATGGGTTTTTTCTACTCTGAAAATGAACCTTTCATGTTTTTTCCCTGATAACATGAACATCTGTACAAGTCAGGACAACAAAGATCAGTCATCCTGTCTGCAGAGCAATCCATCACAGTGTTTAAGGAAAAACAAAGGACAACAGGTTAGTTGTCCTAGCCTGGTTTTCCAGGTTCCTGCAAAGCAGTAAGTTAGAGGACTCCAGAGCCTGAAATCACACCCAGACCACCACAATTTATACTCCTGGAGCTTCATCTTCCAGATGTGGCACATATTTCTTAACCCATTCAATTTTTACTACATCATTCCACAGAAACAAGCTTTGGAATTTACTGGTATGAAACTGACAGAAAAGTGCATTATTAGACTGCTGGTCTAAAATTAGTATTTCATTAGATGATGACTTGGTTCTTGTGTATTAAAAAAAACTGTGGAAAAATGCTTTTCTCACACTACTCATCATTTCCAAGAGTTTATCACCTTCTTTCTGTCTTCAGCGCTAGTTGACAACTGTCACCATTTAGTTTCTATCTCATTTCAAAATCTATTATAAACTTCAAGAAGGCATCAATTCAAAATGCATCAAATGTCCAATGTAAGTTATGCTAATACAGAAATTCACTCTGTATATTTTCCATTTTATTCTCAGATTTCTCAATAATTTGCATTTATATTAATATATCATTATCAACAAACAGCAGAATGTCTGCTTGTGCACAGAAGAGTGATTTTTCCCTAATAATTGCATGAATTTGGCATTTAGAAAAATCAAGAGGCTAATAGTTCACTTATTTATCAACCACTCTTCTTTAGCACTTGCAACTGTGTTTATACTGAAGTTCTGTACATTTGTGGTGTAGCATGCAACATTCAACCTCTTATAAAAGAAATACTTCAGTTTTTTCCCTGCCTGAGCACCAATGAATTCATAGCCAGAATAAACAACTAAGAAGAAACACAAGACATCTTACAAGGCCCTCTTATTCTGCAAGACAGATCAAGATGACAGAAGGGACTAGACATTCAAGGCCAGAAATGAAATTAAGCTAGAGGAGAAAAATGATTAGTAAGAACGGTGGTGCTGCATTTCCACAAGCTGAAAAACATATGCAAGTGCTAACCAAGAATTCCTTCTCTTAGGAATCATTCATATGTAAATTTATAAATGTTGTCTTTTATTCAATATCATAGAATGCAATATACTCACTGAAGTCCATCAACCAAAATCCCAAAGCCTAGACAAGTTACTGGGGGGAAGACAAGAAGCAACCCTCGTGGTCTGGCATTTTATTTGTTCATTTACCCATAGGTCCAACTGACTTAAAACTACTTCTTCAAAAAATTCCAAATTAAGCTCCTTCATCTGTTAGAATACTTAAGGCTCCCTTCCCACATCTGTTCCCTCCTGTTTCACAGGGCAAGCCCAAGCTGTAGGCACTCCTCCTGCACAATACAGGCCTGCCTTTTTGTGAGAGTACAAAGGTAGATGCACAACTGTAGTAACAAAATTAGCCTCCAAATCTGTCCAACTTTCCTGTACACTTAAGCCACATAAAATGGTCAAGAAATTCAAGACAGAAATACATCAAAGACTGTAAGTGTAGTCAAAGCATATATACTAAAGTATAACAAAAATTACCTTCACCATGATACAGGCTAAAACAACAACAATAAAGGTTTTTATAAACAAACCGAAGAGTGTGAAGGCATAAAAAGAATGTATTGAGACATATACAAATTATTTCCAAAATTATTACTCTCTTTTAGAGAGGAAAATACTGGAAAACAATGAAAGTACTGACTTAGCATAGTAGCTGAAATAAAATTTAAGCAGCATTTTAAATTAAGGCAGCTCACTTCTATTTGTGATTTTTAAATGCATTTAAACCTTTTTTGAACAAGCCATTTCAAGAAAGTGGTAGAAGAGAAGGCACAAGAGCAAACAATTTTCTCCTTCTATGCATAGAAAAGGTAAAGCCCAAAGGGGAAAAAAACCCATTCCAGATATAAAATATAGTAATAGGATTATTGAACATCTTTTACAAGAAACCTTAATCTGCAAGCAATTAGTTGCTTACTAACCTTTAGCCTTCTCACCATCTCTTCTTTAGATATTTTATCAGAGATTTCTTTGACTCCTGGAGGATATGTGATTTTTCCATCATTGGCTCTCGTCTTTGAATGAGCCATGATTTCACGGTTTTAAAACTGTGGAAAGAAATTAACAAGACAATGCTGTTTAACTAGTTCATGCTTAACCATATCTGTCCCACTTTGACAAACAAAATCCAACTAGAAATATACCAACAAACCCATACAAACTAGAAATATACCAACAACCCCATACAAACACAAAAAAGGACAAAATATTTTGATTGGTTTCAGTAATCTATACTGTGGGAGACAGCGACAGTTTTGATATGCAGGTAGATTGTCCTAGGACACAACAAAGCTTCCAAGAAGTAAACATCAGTAAAAAGCTAAAACTCCTCATTTCAGAATGCCATTGATCTTCACACTACCAAGACACAACCAAGAATCTTACTGTATTGTATGATCTGTTTCCATCTCTTGGTAATAATAAACCCTAGCTAGCTTGGGGGTTCAGACATCTGAAGTGGACATTGTGTCCATTTTTACTCTTTTGGAAAACGCAATTTTCCAAAATGCCTAAACACCAGTGCTGTTAATTGTTACACATCACCAGTTCTAACTCCCCAATACTACCAAGCAAGCAGCAAATAGAGAATGAAAAATACAAGTCTTTCCTCTACGTCATTAAAACCAAGTTTTCAAGTGAAAGACTGCAGAAAAGCAATGGTATCTTCTTCCTAAATTCTAACTAGGAACACAACTCAGCTACTTGGTTTCTCAGTCCCTTTAAACTGATGCAAATGAAAACTACCATGTAATCCACTCTAAGTTATGCAGAGTTTCATTGCTTTAGAAGAAGGAAGCTGAACTGAAATCTTTACTTACATAAAAGCAATCAATACAAAAGACAGTGAAAAAATCTAGATGGCATGTGTGGGAACAACCAGGATCTTAGAAAAAGACTGTACCAGGGCAGTTATGAATGAAGAATGTAACAAAAGAAACAAATTTCTTTGTCATTGTCTTGATATTTTTATTTTTTTAGTTAAAAGTATGATCCACTTATAGCAGTCATGGCTGTTCTGAACTGTGAATCCCAAGTATCAGGATTTGTATTCTTCAGTTCATATTTCATGAAAACAACCAAAGTTACAGATTTTGCTTCATCTTCACCTAATCTTTTACCAAACAAAAAGTTAGCACTGGCTTTTTTTTTTTTTTTTTTGCAAAGAACACATACGGCACAACAAATTTTATTTTTGTAATTAAGGAAAACATGAACAGAACAAATATAATCAGATTTCATTCAACAGGCATGACATGCAATGTACTTCAACAGATAGATGAAAATCAACTCAGTTTGTCATTTTCTCTGCCCCTACATGCACCCAGCAGTGGAACAGTGCCACATGCTTGCACTTGTAGTAAAAATTGACAGCGACGAAGCTGGGAGGAAACAAAGCTCATTGAAGTAACTTTTTCTAATACTAAAATATGATGCCACTTTTATCCCCGTTATATTTTTTTAACATACTGCAATGACAAGTCCATGTCAAGTCTAGGACTCCTCAAAAGCACACAGAAATTGTAATGAAGTTCACTCTTCTTGCCATATGACACAGATATTACTCTCTACCTTTCAGATGGGATGATGTTATATATTACACCTAAATTCATTTTAACAGCTCATCACAGCAGAAGGGAGATTTGCTTGCCTGAATATGAGAATGCATAAAAGCATCAGATTCTTTGTTGGACCAATCAAACTCACCAACTCAAAAAACAAGCCTAATTGTTTTTGAAAAGCGTGTGACAAGCATCAAAGCTAACTCAAGGGAAAGAACAGGAACTAGGGGAACTGGGGAACAAAACTCCATTTTCCAGTGGTGGATAGCTGTCAGATCAGATCAAATGCAGTGGAAACTTGATTAGAACATGATGATGTAGTCCCATTTGGAGCACATTTTGAAATAATTCAAAGACTGAAGCTCATGCATTACAGTCAAGTTCAACTGTGCAGCCAATATGTCCAATGGCCATGCAACCAAGCTTTTAAGCTTCAGTGGCATCCAAGGTTTGCATGAAACTGAACATCTGCATTGTGTTTATATGGCAAGGCTTTGGTAGTGGGGGAGGCTGAAGGCAGAGCCCCTGTGGGAAGAGACATGGGGCTGCTCCCATAACAAACAGAGCCAGCTCCAGGCAGCTCCAAAATGGACTCATCCCTTGCCAAAGCTGAGCCATCAGTGATGCTGGCAGTGCCTCTGTGATAATGCATTTAAGAACTGACACAAAAATGCTGCACAGCAGTTACTAGGAATAGAAGTGTGAAAAACCTGCAGCCACCAAGGTTAGTGGAGAATGAAAATAATCTCCCTGTAATTATCTTGACCCATGAGCATTTTTCTTATTTCCTTCCCTGTTCCATTAAGCAAGAAGAGTGAGAGAGCAGCAGTGTTAGCACCTAACAGCCAGCCAAGGTTACAGACAGGGATGTACACAGCTTATGCCTCTCAGAGGTACAGAAAAAAATTAACAGGACTTCAATTTCTAGAGAATTAATACACCTAGTCTTACAGGGTCAAGAGTAATTCTAAAAAGGTTCTAAGAAATAGAACAAAAAGGATAAAGAATTATAAAGCTTCTAACACTGAGAGAAACAAAAACCATTCAAAAGAAACAGCAGAAAACAAAACCTATCATTCAAAAAAAAATTTCAATGCTAAGCAAACTTGTACAACAGTTACAACTTCAATTACCTAAGTAAAACTTCATTACATTAGACTGCTAGAAGTTCCTATTCTTCTGGACTGCCAATAAAACTGTGCATACCTAGCTTTATCAAAATAATCTGTGTTGAACACTCAGTAGAATCTAGGATTTTACTTGGGAGCGGGATGGGGGGGGGAAGGTGTTTTGGTGATTCTAACCAAATGCAAGTCTCTGTGATTTCACATTAGACACATCAGCTGTTTCAGTGAACTTCTGTCATGGAAAAAGAAGACGGTAGCAGCTAAGAACAGCAGCCTCAAGGCCAGCTGTATGTACAACATGTTGAAAATGAAAATCCATAAGCCAGTGATGTGATATTCAATGACTGAATTTCAAAAAGCTTTTAAAATTCATTTTTACAGATTCAGTGTATTGCAAAAGAAAACAGTCTGAGATGACAAGCATTTTGAAAGAAGGAAATTCTTTCAAAGCATCTTTGAGATTCAACAGACTCAGCTGAGAGTTTCTATTTTTTTTTTTTAACAAATGGTATTTTAGAAGTTCCCCACCATGTTTTCAAACATCCAGTACTATTCCATATACATCATGAGAAGGGAAAGAGCACAAGTCTTACAAGAAGAGGCTGAGGGAGCTGTGGTTGCTTAGCTTGGAGAAGAGGAGACTCAGGTAGGACCTTACTGCTCTCAAAAACTATCTGAAAAAAGGTGTGGTGATGTGGGGATTTGTCTTTTCTTCCAGGTATCTATGACAACACAAGAGGAAATGGCCTCAAATGGCACTAGGGAAGGTTTAGATTTGACATTGGGAAAAATTTCTTCACCAGAAGAGTGGTCAGGCATAGAAACAGGCATCCCAGGGAAGTTGCAGAATCACCATCCCTGGCAGTGTTCAAAAGGTAGGTGGATGTAGCACCTGGGGTCATGGTTCAGAGGAGAACACAGTGGTTCTGGGTTAACTGGACTCAATGATCTTAGAGGCCTTTTCCAACCTTAATGATGCTATGAAAAAGGAAAATGTTCACATGGATGCCTTTTTTAAGGCAAGAAAGCAATTCAGACCATGAAATGCTTTGCACCATGCAGAATCCCAGCACATAAACTAAACTTTAACATGTGCCCTGTTTCTGCTGTTACATGAGGATAAAGAGGGGAGAGAGATGTCACAAGAAACTTCAACAAATATATAACAAATTCCAGTCCTAACAAATATGAATAAAAATCATGATTCAATCAGACTTTGGTTTTTTTAGTTATCTTAAACAGTACTGTAAGCTAAGACTTCAAAAACTATGAAGCAAATAAATATATTTTAAGCTAATAGAGGATTTCAGATACAAACCCTACTCTTTGTACACATGGAGATGATACAGTAATACTTAAGATGTCCAGGAACTGCTTGTGTCAACACAGAAGCACCACTGCAATTGTCATTTCTCAAAGACCTAAAGTCAGGAACCAAGAGCCAGTCTTCAGAAGTATATTGAAAAATAGTATGTATAAAATAGCATGACAAATTAAAAACAAAGTTATAAGGGAGGTGAGGTGCAAGAAACTACTACAGACACCAGAAAGAAAGATGACAAAACACATACCCTTTGTACAATGACAACAGGAAAACTAAAGCACGGAAAAAACCCAAAAGCGGAAGTTACATTTGTTGGACATTAGATCAGGATAGATTAAAAAGTCATCCACCTCTTGTGACAAAAATCACAAGATCATATTTAATGTAAAATTATGACTACCAGCCAGACCACAAATGGGAACAATCAATTAATCTGAACAGAGTTAATTAGTAGTAAGTACCACTGCCAAAATTGGTCAAGCTCAAATAAATAAACTACACATGAGTTCTCTACATAATCAGTAGCATCCAACAGCTACTCAGTTCCAGCTAAGTCTACTGGCCATTATATTACTAAAACATTCATAGATGTTTTCTATATAGCAGATAACTTTATGAATAGCTTAACTTCACATACACTACTTGCTCAATACTTTAAAATACTGACTGTGATTATGCAAATAAAATATGGATTGATATCTTGCATATTCAGTATCTATGCAAATATACTTCATAGGTCAATAAATATCATTAGAGGATGTTAAGTCAATGATCTACTGGAGGACTTAAACCACACTCCATTTAATTGTATTTTGTTTGGTTGACACTTTACATTGCCTATGGTGATTTAATTAACTGTGCTAATCATTAAACAAACTGTGCCTTAACACACATGAAGACATCATGTGTCAACAGTGACTTTCCAGAGATACATACATGTGTTTAAATCCTCCAGACAGTTTTGTAGAAGTCTTACCCAAGTGATGAAGCAAACTTTACCAAATCAACCCTTGATTCCTCGCAAGTCTGGCTCCTGC